TCAAAAATCGCCTACGAAAGTATGGTTAAACCCAAATTTGACTCGCTACAGTGTGAGCAGGGATGGACAAACTTATACCACAACCATTGAACTAACCCTCGCTAAGCACTAGCTTATATTTGTCTCAGAATGTGATTGTTCACTGATGTATATCCAGCATAAAATAATTTCATAAATAGCAGCATGCATGTATGGGGAAATTTGACTCGCTGCAGTGTGAGGAGGAATGGACCAACTTGTACCACGACCATTGAACTACCTATAAAAAAACCCTGGCTAAGAACTGGTTTATATTTGTTTCAGAAAGTAATTATGTGACTGTTCATGCACTGATGTATATCCAACATAAAATAATTTCATAAATAGCAGCATGCATGTATGGGGACTCATAGAATTTTGTTTCTTAGATTGCCTATATAATTATGTGACTGACATATATACTGTCTAGGTAAATTTATTGATAATTATTTGATTTTTAATGCACTTAATCTGAATTTGATGAATATTGAGCAAGGGAAGTAACGGCTAAGAACTTTTAGGTTTTATATTCATATAAAAATATAAACATACGTATATCGGCTTGTAAAAGATTGACGTGTAATTAGATTATGTTGAATGGGAAAGCATATGAAAAAAAGATAAGTAAAAATATAAAATTTGCTGTAAAAATTGCTGTCTATGTTTATTTTACATGTTCAATGCATTTTTGCCATTAGAATAATCCCCGGGCGAGGTACTAATTCCGCCTGGAGATTTTACGCCCGGGAATGCAAATGCGAAATGAAAGATGTCCGTCGTCATTAACGTTGGGTGGTTTTGTAAATTATGCGCATGCGCGAGTTTAAGTGCGCATGCGTGAGCTAAACTCGAAATAACGTGGAAAAACTTGCCCTACAGGCTCGTTTTTCAACTGATTATATCCCGTTCTCCCAAACTCCCACGCGTGTTTCTATAACTGTACAGAAACACGGAAAATATTTTCAATTTCCTAATTGGATGGTCTTAAGAATATACGAAAAATTGACTCGTAAAATTTATTAAATTTTATTTAAAAGATGCCTTCGGACAGAAAATTTTTCAGTCATTCAAATGGATGGTAAAAAATCTACGATTTTGAAGCATTTTTGGAGTGTTTTTGAACAGGCCGTAAATGGGTAGATTTTGTATTTAATTTTAGAGCATGCAATTATTTATCAACAAATGTATGACACCTCTGTTAGTTTATTCGTCAATTTCGTTAAAATCATTTTGATTGGGAAGGATATAGTATATAGTATAGTATAGTAGATATAGTATATAGTATATAGTATATAGTAATAGTATATAGTATATAGTATATAGTATATAGTATATAGATATAGTAGTATAGTGTATATAGTATATAGTATATAGTATATAGTATATAGATATAGTATATAGTAAAGTATAGTATATAGTATAGTAGAATATAGTATATAGTATATAGTATATAGTATATAGTATATAGTATATAGTATATAGTTAGTATATATATTAGTATATAGTATATAGTATATGTATATAGTATATAGTATAGTAGTATATAGTATATAGTATATATATAGTATATAGTATATAGTATATAGTATATAGTATATAGTATATAGTATATAGTATAGTTATAGTATAGTATATAGTATATAGTATAGTATATAGTATATAGTATATAGTATATAGTATAGTATATAGTATATATTATAGTTAGTTATAGTATATAGTATATAGTATATAGTATATAGTATATAGTATATAGTTATAGTATATAGTATATAGTATATAGTATATAGTTATAGTATATAGTATATAGTATATAGTATATAGTATATAGTATATAGTATATAGTATATAGTATATAGTATATAGTATATAGTATATAGTATATAGTATATAGTATATAGTATATAGTATATAGTATATAGTATTAGTATATAGTATATAGTATATAGTATATAGTATATAGTATATAGTATATAGTATATAGTATAGTATATAGTATATAGTATAATAGTCGACACAAACTCAGGTAAAAAGTTAGTTTTTCCAAACTATTTCGTCTCAAGTTTTGAAAATGTATTTCATTTTCTCCCTCTTATTTGTGCAAATTTGGCGATATATATTTGGTGCAAAATCTGTTTTTTATGTCAAAAATTATTGAAAAGTGACAGTCAGATTATATAATTTTCAAACCTGATGACTGAAATGGCTTCATTTATTCAAATTTATTCACAAATATCACTGTATTTTTTTTCTTTATACCACAGTAATACTGTTAAAATGGTCAAAAGTAACTGACTGAAATGTTTTTGTTTATTTTCGTTTTAATAAAGTACAGACGATGCATAGCTTGCATGCCGGCCTGAAGGCCGAATTTTATAAAAGTCGAATTCGAATGCATCTGAGTTTGCATCTGAATTCTACCGCATTTTTGTTAGTACAAAACACTATTCTTTCTATCTACTACCATGCAATAGATGTTTAATAAGGGTTAACCAGGAATACTTGAAAAGGAAAGGATCCCGTTCACCATCGTAACGGAAAACACTTGCGAACTCCGGTTTAAATATTTTTCGCTTTCGGCTTTGCCATCATGTAAAGGTGTATCTTAAAAAACGCTGCAGCTCGCATTGTGGCTACCTTTATAGTATGTTATTGCCAGGAAAGGAATATTCAAATGGCAATTCAAAATAGACAATGATATTATGTTTTGGTTATAAGTATTTTACTATCCATGTCATGCATGTGTGCCAAGTTGAAGAGTTATTTTGCTTTTCAGTCGGCATCACATCACATGTACTGTACTCTGTAGTCTATTACACAGGGAAAACAAACATAAAACATGCTTATTTTATCTCTTTATTTTTGTCAAGAGATTTCTACTATTTTTTTTGCTGAAATGAAAAATTGCTGTCAAATTACATCTTATCGATCGATAAAATTGGTATAAAAATTTTAGATGAGAAGTGTGAACATGGTGGTTTGTTCGATCGTGACTTTTCAATAATTTTTGACATAAAAAACATAGATTTTGCACCAAATATATATCGCCAAATTTTGCACAAATAAGAGGGAGAAAAATGAAATACATTTTCAAAACTTGAGACGAAATAGTTTGGAAAAACTAAACTTTTACCTGAGTTTGTGTCGGCCTTTTCTATATTTCCCCGACGAAAGCAGCCGAAAGATTAATGAAAACACACAAAAACGCCTCAATTGAAAGGCAAAACTTCCTAGCCTGAAAACTATGATAACAACGATGAAACCAAGCTGAAAGATATCGAAAAATATGTAAAACAAAGGCGAAAAACGGCATATAACTCGGCGAATAGCTTTGTACTGCAAAAAATACAAATATTGTTTTTTGCATAATAAGCCTCGTTTCCATGTTGAGCGAAGGCGCGGTTACTAAGTTTCGCAATTGGTCTATAGATATATCACCACATGTGTAAAACAATGTGCCCTCCCGGCTATCACCAAAGCGCAATGGTGACTCCTGCACTTGGGACACAGGACGTACGATACACATTGTTGGAATTGAATAGAGTCACCAGAGCGCTCAAACTTAAAACAAGCGAGCGTAGCATAGCTTACGGTGAACGCATATATATATATTTAGTATAATTTCAGTACTGAAAAATGGCCTTTGAGCATTCTGATTGGCTCCCTCAGCAGTAACTCTGAGGCAATAGTTACTGCTCAGAGCAGTCTGAGCAGTAACTATTGCTTTTCCCCAAAAAACATGGCCGAAATACTCAAAATCAAATAATATTCATAAATAACACGTGTATCAGTTGTATTTATAAATAAAACTTTTTCAATACTGAAATTATACTAAAACAATTAGTCGCCTCAGGCTCGGTGATTACAAGCCTATATTCACTTCGCCTTCGGCTCAGTGAATATAGGCTTGTAATTGCAGAATTATTTGAAGTTTTATTATTATTATGATTATGATTATTATTAAAATACTTGAATGGCAGTTCAAAAAACGACTGAAAAACACAAGTTTACAAGTATCAAATAGACTATTTACATATTTACAGTGATAAATACTCAGAAATACAATTACTAACATGTTAATACCATAACTACAAAAAGATATGCTAACATTGGTTCTAAAATATTAAATATTAAAAGAGTTCCATTTACGTATGCAATACGGCAAAAAGCTATCATTATAGCGTTTCGTTCGACATTTAAAAAGAGAGATCGATCGAGGATGTCTGAGATCGTACTCATGGGTTAAAAGTTTGGTAATAGACTAGAAATTTTACCCGAAGGGTCATTATAATTATTTTATAAAAGGTTCTGCATAACCGTTCCCTTCTCGCTTCTAAGGTAGGTAAATTCAGGTCTTTAAGGCTTTCGGTGTAGGACAAATGGGGAAAAATAATTTTGAACGCACGTTGCTGAATATGTTCCAATTCAACGGTGAGGAAATTAGGTAGTGAGGTATGCCAAACTGGACATGCATATTCCAGGACAGGTCTGATGAAACTACAATATACCGCTTAAGATCACTAGGTTGGACACCATTTCTTCTTAATAGCCTTAAGGCATACAGGCGTTTGCTTGCTTTAGAGGATATGTGCCTGATGTGTGTGGTCCACTTGAGTCGGAGGTTAAATTTACTCCCAGGAGTTTGATAGAGTTCACAGCCTCCAGAGGTAGGTTATTGACAAGCAAGGGTTGTGCCGGGGGTTGATTGATCAAGAAGGACACGGTGAAATCTTTAGTTTTTTTTACGTTTAATTTCATGTTGTTCACATTCGACCACTGAGACACCTTATCGAGTTCTTGCTGTAATTTTGGAAAATCCGGTTCACATACTCTAACAACTTCAGAAATAGCACAATCATCAACGTACTTGTACAGTGGTAGTTCACTGGATAGATCATTGACCATTATAAGAAAGAACAAAGGCCCCAATTTTGTGCCTTGCGGAACTCCAGCATTGATTTCTTTCCAATCAGATTTACAAGATTTTAATTTAACGCGCTGTTGTCTGCCTTGAAGGAAACTTGAACACCATTTAATAACACGGGTGGAACGTTGAGGAGTTGTAATTTGCGCATTAGAATGTTATGGTCAATTCGATCAAACGCTTTGGAAAAATCAATAAAGCAGGATCGAATAATGGTATTAGGTGTTTCCAGGGCCGAAAGCCAATGGTGGATTAGGTGCACGAGGGCGTGAGTCGTTGAGGACTTTTTCACACAGCCAAACTGGAGGGGATCAATGAATGGCATAACAATGGGTGCAAGCCAATTGAACACGAAAGACTCAAGGATCTTGCTCAGTACTGCCATGAGGGATATAGGTCTAAGGTCCGTATCAATAGATTTCGGTGTAGGGATCTTGCTTAAAGGGAGAACATCCGCGCATTTCCACAGATCAGGTACACGACCTTCTCTAATGGAAGAGTTAAACATGGAGCATACAGGGTAGCTAATATTTGCGGCACATGTTTTCAGGATCCAATTGGGGATCTCATCAGGTCCTACAGACTTACGATCGTTAACACCTGCCAATGCAAGTTCAACAGCATCACGCGTAATGACGTATCTATCAGGAACATTGGAAACGGGTACTGGAGTGAAATTTAAATGCGGTATATCAGCAGCAGCACTGCAGAAGGATTCATTAATGACGGTGGCAAGTTCAAAGTCTCTCAAGACGGTGCCGTTTATGGCTAGACTATTAAACGGAGGGGGGTTGGACATTCCTGACAACGGTTTAATACCGTCCCACCACTTTTTTGGATTGCTCTCGTGCATGTGATTGATTTTGTCATAATAGAATTTTCGACGTGCACTTTTACAGAGTTTTATCACTTTATTGCGATAAACATTAAATTTGGGAAGGTCATTATTCAACCAAGCTTGTTGACGTTTGTTAATGGATTCTTCAATAGCAGGAGTAATCCATGGTTTATCATTGGGATGGAGTTTAACAGTACGCATGGGAATACATGAATTCAAAGCACCATGAACCACGGACTGGAACAAATCCAGTTGATCGTCACATGAATTTCGCCTAATGAGCGGTGTCCAATTGACCGAGTCCAGGCAGGATATCAAATTTCGTTTGTTGGAAACACGATAATCACGCATTAGGAGTCGTGTGGTGGGTAAGCTTGGAGCATGTGGTGAAGTGGGTTGAAGTAATATACTGGAATGATCAGATTGGCCAATAGGTGGCAGGATGGTAGCATCGTAGTAAGCCGATAGAGTTGAGAATGCTTGATCAAGGACATTACTTCCCCTGGTAGGCTTAGTGACCAGAGTTTTCAATCTAAAGGAATTGCACAGATTTCCTGGCTTAAATTGGTTAAAATCTCCGAGAACCAAGACAGCGGAATTAGGATAGTTGGCCAGTGAGGAATCTAAACATTTGAAGATATGCGTTCGAAGCGCGTGGTCATCGCTTTGGGGGGGGTGATAAACTGTTCCCAGGATAATGGAGTTTATTCCTCGTGGTAATCGATCCATTTTGATTAAAAACCATTGACTCTCAATTTCTGGATCGCCTAGGTCAGTTAATTCAGTAAAATTAAGGTTTGAGTTAAAATAGGAACAAAGACCACCACCGCGCTGGTTACGTTCTATCACGTCGGCAAGATACATAACCAGGAATACGTATAGACTCATTAGTTATTTGTGGATTTAACCATGTTTCAGTAATTACGGCAACGTCACACAGTTCGATAGAAATTGATGCAGAAACTTCGTCTAACTTGTTGACCATCGACCTAACATTACTAAACCAAATCTTGGGAAAGCGTGGGATCGTAACAGGAGTCTTCAATGGGATTAATAATCTAAAATTGGGAACCCAGATGCGCTCCCGCCGTTTGTTTTTTCTGTAAGTAATCCTAGTAGGTATTCTCATCTCTGCTGGCTGATATTGTTCCGTGTTGCTCGATGAACATAGTGGAGGTATTCCTTCCACGACTTCATTTGTTCTATGGGGTCTATTTGAAGACTCGAGTTGAACTTTATCAGGGGCTTTATAAGCGTTGGCGGCTGCCAGAAATGGACCCTTGTTGGATTCCGAGGCGGCCTTGGACGGTAGTTTCTCCTTGGACGGTGGTTTCTCCTGGACGCTTTTAATAAAAATTTTGATCACGATTTCTGACTAGGTGTCGATGGGTTATAGGGGGGTGATTTGCGTCTTGAATTCCAGGTATAGAGCTGCAGTGCCTGGGTCTTGCAGGGAAAGGCTTCTTGCACAATTCGCTTTCGCAGTCTTGCTTTTGATGGAATGCTTTGTGTTGTTTAGCACGGTAATGATGAACCTGTTGCGTTAGAGAGTCATTTGCATTTTGTTCATTTCCATTTAACTATCTAGATTTGGACTAAGACACCGGTGGCTTTTATTTGCATTTGGGAGATGACCGGCAGTTGGATCTTTTAGTTGGATCTTTCTGACTAGATGTCGATCAGTTATAGAGGGGTGATTTGAGTCTTGAATTCTAGGTATAGAGCCACAACGCCTAGGTCTTGCAGGGAAAGGCATCTTGCGCAATTCGCTTTCACAATCGTGTTTTTGGAGGAATGCTTTGTGTTGTTTGGCGCGGTAATGATAAACCTGTTGTCTTAGTGAATCATTTGCATCTAGTTGATTTGCATTTAGTTGATCAAGATTTGGACTAAGACAATGGTGGCTTTTATTTCCATTAGGGAGATGACCTGCAGTTGGATCATTTTGTTCGACATCAGTAACAATGATGACTGAATCATTAGCAGCTGTTAAGCCTCTCGTTATACGGTTATGGTTTTGATATTCAAACACCGATTCGTGACCCAGACCATTGGGTAGTTTACTTTTGCCATTAACTGAGGCTAATCCGACAGGACTTAAATCTGTATTGTTCTCTATGTTCGCTGTTCCCTTTAGATATGATTTAATTAACAAAATCTCATCTTTGAGACGGTTTACCTCATGCTCTAAAGCACTGTTCTTTGCCTTTTCTCCCTCAAGATCAATATGTAGGCAAGCTACTTCTTTAGACAGTTTAGATACTATGATTGATGGGGGATCACCACGGGAATCGTTTAGGGCCTGCATTGAGTCGACCTTGCTATTCAGAATTTCAATCTCCAACATTATATTTTCTAAATACTCACAGTTGTTATCATGATGGTCAATACTTTTAAAAGCATTTTCCGGCATATCTTTAGGTGGCGTCAATAGGTCGATCAAACAGGCTTTTGCTGTTTCTCCAACTGTTCCTTTGAAAGTTAAGGTATTTAACTTTCCGGGATACCATGTCATAGATAGATCTGTGCTATGGGCATCAAAACACTTTGAAACGCCTCCTGACCGCCGCCACTTGCCTTGTTGACCGAAGGCATTCGCCACAAAATCTTGCAAGGATTCGTAGCTATCCTGCCATTTAATTCGCTTACCATCGTAAGAAATGCTATCCGATGTTATATACTTATTTATATTGAGGAAATCAAAGGCATCAATGAGATTTTTATTTGTAGACTCGGAGTTATGAACACTGTGTCCATCCGCCATGACGTTATATCTATATCTGAGTTATATCTATATCTATATCTATCTCACCTCGCCTTCGGCGACTAATTGTTAATTATATATATATATATATATATATATATATATATATATATATATATATATATATATATATATATATATATATATATATACACCCATTTGCAAAAACGTTGGCCGCAGATAGATTGATATACTCGAAGTCTAATTAGAAATGCATATGGCTAAGTTTGCATGGGATTTCAATCATATTACACAACATATGCAATTCTAATTAGATTTCGAGTATCTATCTATCTATCTATCTGCGGCCAACGTTTTGCAAATGGGTGTATATTAAGAACTTACTGACTGAGAGTGAGGTCTGTACGGTAAAATATCAAACCGAGGTCGTGCTGTATTGACCGAGCGATAGCGAGGTCAATACACCAAGACCGAGGTTTGATATTTTACCGTACAGACCGAACAGTCGAAGTTAGTAAGTTTTTTATTATATGGCATAATTCATGCAGACATTGTAATTTTAATGATCAATCTCATCCGTGCACACGACACCAAAACATCGGCCTAAAGTGAAAAAAAAACGCTCTATTTTGTAAAATAGAAATTTATTTTTTTTATTTCAAATTCATTATTTTCCGTTTAAGAATTTAATCTGTTTTTCAGTTTAAATTTAGTCAGTTTTTGCCGTGAGTTTTGCCTTGTTTTCACAGGGCAATAAGAATTGCGTATTGCCCTCGGGCAATACGGGGAAATCCGGACCTGTCAGCAGCCAATCAAATTGCAGAATTAACCAAAACAAGCGCTTGCCATATATAATATATATATATATATATATATATATATATATATATATTATATATATATATATATATATAATATATATATATATATATACATACAACTGAGGTACAAGGTCAAGACGGTTCGAGTAGCTGATATTTCGGAACTCGGTCTAGTGCCTTCCATATCTGGGCGTCTTAAATTGATAGTGATAATGCAAAGACTCAGGTGTATATATCAAATGTATATATGTGATGTTTCTACTCTGATTCACCAACCGGGCAAGCTGAAAAATTAGCTTGACTACGGTGGGAATCGAACCAGCGACCTTTGGTTTGCGAGTCAAGGTCAAGACGGTTCGAGTAGTTGATATTTCGGAACTCAGTCTAGTCCCTTCCGTATCTGTGCGTCTTAAATACTGATAATGCAAAGACTGAGGTGTATATATCAAAATTAATGTATAATATATATAGTTAGCTGAAAACTAATGTCGCCCCTGTTTATCAGACATAAACCGAAGTGTGAATTAATATGAGGGAAATCAATGCTTATCAGTACATGCTAACATTCAAGCACTAGGCTATTATGCAATCAACCAAACGAATCTGATCTGATTCTGATCGAAACTAATCAGAATTGAATAATTTCACTCAATGAAAGGTATATTTGGTAAAGAGTCTAGTCCAGTGACTGTACAAGTCTTTCATCAAAGTTTATCAATTCATATTGAAAATGTAGCATGTTGAAATCACTGAGTTCTACATATTACGGAAAGATTAATTGATCTATCTTGACTTAACGTTTCCCGCTTTGCCCAAAAACCGTGGTACGCGCTTAAGTATCCAAATTTGTATACATGCTGGCACAAGTGAGCACCAGCGAAGAGTATTGATATACTTTTGAATATGTTTTGGTTCTCCTTTTATATCACGATATAAAATAGTATCATCATATAATAGCGTTGCATGCAGGCATCAGAAATATGCACATTATTATCATAATAATGTTATATATGATTTCCTGCATATAACTGCTGAAGCTGAGTCAGATTTGATTCCTAATACACAGGTTTAATAAAAGCTTTGATGCCTTTTTTCATACACTCTTTATTTAGAATAACTTTTTATTCCATATTTGCTAAAGTTATCGGCTGAAAAAGGGTTTCAGTTGAATGATACTTTCATATTAGTTTATTCACGGGTTATTGTGTAGTGAGAGTTGATCAAGATACACTGATTAATACATGAAAGATGAGACAATACGCTAAAATTATTCCGTATTTTTCTAGTTCATGTATCGAATTATGCACAGGACTATTTGCTTAATCAAAATCCTGTAATGCAGGTCGATGCCGCTTCGAAAGCAGCAGGAAGGAATAAGATTGCGTAAGCTAGTTTGCGGGCTAAAACAGTTTAGTAAGCTAAAACAGCAGTTTCCAAAAAAAACTCTTATCAGTCTAATTTACTCTAATATACTACTGAAAGAGCGTTCGTCGCAAGTAAAAACCAAATTGATCTCGGCGTTCTGTCACAGCGTTATTTGTTATTGCGGTGGTGTGAATCCTTCACTTTCGAATGCCACATTTTCACCGTTCTTTCAACTTCTTTGACGATATGTAGACAGCTTGCAATTCATTTCAAAAGTTCAAAAATACCGAAAACGAACTTTCATCTCTCAAACGAAAAGTTGTTTCGTCTGTTGTCGTGGACTTTATTATTATGATTCAAACTACTCCAGGGTCAATCTGCGACATTGCAGCAATACGACGAAAAAAGAATATATTATTATTCGTGTTGTGTGTGTAATTGAACTGAAAACCCATTTTTACGGCTAGATTTGCATGTAAAAATACTGAATCAAGGGTAAGGAATTCACATTCCTTGCGAGTTGCGTACTGTATAGTGCGGTTGCCATGCAGCTTTGGCAATTCACTGACCGTAAAAACAATCAATTTGAAAAGAATAATCTGCTGTGTACACAGCGTGTAATTAGCCACCGCGTTGTCCTGTCGAACGGATGCATATAAAAAGTATGAACAATTATATATATATATATATATATATATATATATATATATATATATATATATATATATATATATATATATATATATATGAGAAACAATAATGCGGTTAACAATTTCATATTCGTATTTTTAAACGCTGTAAAGACATTCGTTTATGTATATTGTTTATAGTAAATTGTGTGGCGTTGAAAACAATTGCCGAAGTAAATCTAAAACAATGTTTTAGTGTACATTCATTGGGAATTCTATATTTATATAACGGTTCAAACTTGAACTTCCTGTTATTTTTTAGTAATTAACGCGCGGGTGGATCTATCACGAACGGATGTTGATAATGTATATATAATACAAAGCGCCTGGTCAAGAGAGAATAAACCAAGAAGCTGGCAAGTACCACCACAATGGCAAAAGTATATGTATGTTTTTGTGTTATGTTTGGGATAATGTGCGATACCAAAAGTCAGTCTATGAATACGAGCGTTTTACAAAGGATATCCACACCAACACCGACTTTATTGAAAACAACAACTTCTGATATTTCTTTCCTATCATTAGTCGATATTGTAAGTTCCAAATTTTTGGGTTCAATGGATGGTGTTACGGCTACACCCATGCATAATATATCAGCAGCAGGTTCGTAATTTTGTGTGTGTATAAAATATGTATTAATGCAACCCGATCTTGTAATTTTTATTAACTACCAAGATCTGATCGGATTCCCATGTACAGCCCCACCTGATTTATATAATTACTGACAAAATTTATACCTGGAGGGGGCAGTCTAACTAGATTTGATCATCCTGGTTAAAATTTGCATATACACGTATGCATGGTCACACTGATGAATGAATACGTTAAAACCAAACGCTAGACTGCATGGCATGTGCGAAATCATACAGCAAGGTTTCGATTCTATTTCAAAGTCATCATCAGACTATAACTTTAAAGCTACATATTTCTAATTCATTACGTCAAAAACGGAAGTCTCAATAAAAGAATCACGACGGGTTAGCAGTGAAAAAAGTGTCTACGTGCATAGATATAAATTATGCCATAAGAAACTTCAATCTTATGCGAATTACCATCTACCCTCCACACAGACAAAGTACATTGGCAAAGTGATTGTCAAATAAAATTAAGTTGTGTAAAATCGGTCTTTCTTTTGGTTAGTGCTTGTAATCAAACAGATTTCAGCCAATTTTGAGGTAAATATCCTGCCAAACTCGTTTATTATTGTATATACGTCACAGCCACAGGGTGTCTGATAAGGACGGAAATTATAGAGATGTTTGCCACGATAAAGATACTTGTGCAAGTGACTAGTTAGGAATGATCTGGAGCAGGTTGTATAAAAGAAATACACAACTCTTATCGTATGTCAGAAGTTTCATCATTCCCCTATCCGGTGCATTATTACACCATAAAGGATCAAAGACACTTTTTAATTCTTGAATTAAGAGAAACCTATACAGTTGGCAATGTTATTTAATAAGGTTACCATATCATTTCATACTGCTGATAGTGGCATTCATTTAAAAACACTGTCCGGGTGTAGTTTTAAAAACTAAGTGGAGGTAGTGTTATGTGAAATAAAATTTGTAAGCCTATGTTACCAAATACGTTTTTTCATAATTTTAATTTGGCTGCCCCCAAAAATGTAGCTCATATGCATAGCTTATTTGAGTGGAATAAAAGCAAGGGAGTCACTATTAAGCTTATTAAGAGTGTGCTTTTAGATTACATGCAGGATCGAGTCAGTGTTTTCCCAAACGAGTAAAGTATTGTAATGGGAGTCATATTCATGGGCCAGTTTTGGCTTAGGTTACTATCCTAGGGAATTACATCTTCGTATACTGTACTGAAAAGTGCCTTCAAAATAAATCAGTGGGAAAAGGAATTCGAATATATAAGCAGGGGTAAACTTCCCAAATGAATTTTAACAGCAGCGACGGTCGTTGCAATTGTTTGCGTGATGGGCAAGAATAATTGTTGATTTCAAAATACAAATGACACATAATACTTATAGGTGTTATATAAGACAGCTTATTGTTTCTAGCATAAAAAAGTATCATATTTTGACTTATTTTAACAGATTTTCCATCTCCATTTCATTCCATCGAGTTTCAAGTTCAACTATTACACCCGGATTTAATCAAACAGTCTCGCCTGGCGGTGTTTTTCCAACACTTCCCGTGACGCCAAGTAATCAACATATAGAAATAAGCACCACAACCAGACCTTGGTTACCACCAAATCTTTCAATACTGCCTACAACAGGTATGTTAGAACGCGTTAGACCTATATTTTCGACCAATAAGGTACATTTGAGTTGCAAATGAAATATAATTAACCCCCTTGGCCATTTATAAACTGAGCAGATATTTATTCATCAAACACGAGGAGTATAATCACCCGTACCACCATATGCACAGTTGCCGGATAGTAAACGGTCTACTTTCATCCGAGGAAAATTATTGCTTACATTACATTTGCTATTTATCAAATCATTTATATATATGCGACAAAAAAGCATTTATTGCAAACATGCAAAAATAAAAATACATGATAATTGGGCAATCTTTTGATTTGCATGATTATGGAGCAATTTTTGGACCAGGGACTGGTCCCTAACCGCTGCTAATCTTCTTCTTGTTGTTGTTAGGAGGCGACGCTCTTTAAAAAAACCCTAAGGCTCTATCATTACTTGTTTGATCGGAATGAAACTTGGCACAATTATTCTAAGCAATATTCCGCATCGATTGACGGAGTTCGAATTTTTACTTTTGACCTTTGAAGCAAGTTACAAGCAATTGTTGATATATTTGCAGCAAATAATAATTATACGGAAACGATTAGAAATACATTGTCCTCTTCCTCCTATTGTTATAAATACAATGCAGTTCAGAAATTAAACTCGGTTACGCAGTTCCTGGTCCCTAATAGTGACGATCGTACTTGTTATTCATGATCATCAAGAAAGTAAAATATTTAATAGAGTTCAGCTCATTAACTGGTCCATATCTTGCTTGCTCCTTAACATAATGACATTAGATCGATTCATTTAAGCATACAGTTTGCCGTAAATAATTTGCAATATTTGTTCAAATATCTTTCAATTGCTGCATTATAAATTACACTGCGCATCCGTGAGTTCCGCGAAATTTCAGAGAATCATTCAATATTTTCAAATTTATATGGGTAATGTAAAATATTTTCTGTATGGGTATATGTCACCTCTGCATTTTTTAGTTTATTGTTACAGACGTGATAAATCATTAGTTTTGAAAAGCAGGAAGAATACAGACCAAAAAACTTTGAAAAATATCTTCAAGATGTTTGGAGTAACTTGTTCAGAAAAAAGCAATGAAACCAAATTATAACCGACCCACTAATCTATTTTGCATTGTACAGTTTACTATAAACTTGCGAGGATATAATTTGACACCATATGCAAATTTAGGCGGAAATAGACTGTTAATTTTGTCCTGATCTTCTGGCCACAGATGTTGAATATCTCTCGATTTTGGATAATTCAGATTATTTGTATGGGGTAAAACAGTTTCCTGAATGTATATGCTTATAAATAGTTAAAGAGACACTTTAGGAATGCTTTAGGTGTAAAATTACATTTTCCTAGCATGAAAAATATTAAAACATATCTTACGTTGGTTTATTGCAGTCGCAATACCTGATCCTCCATCTGCATTTAACTCCATTCGAGTTTCAAGAACAACTAAATCTCAAACATCAGGAAACACGGTTGCTATACCTCTATTCAATGCAACAGTCTCGCCTGGGGACATTTCTGCAACACATCCCCCAACACCAAATAGTCAACATATTGAAATCAACACCACAACTCTGCCTACAACAGGTATGTTAGATTTAAGAACTCGTTTCACTATATTTTTTCAAAAGGCACATATGAGTAGCGAATATATGATAAATTTTGCTTGATTAGTGCTTTGTAATTAATACAATACAATAATACAATAACGCAACACTTTACACATTCTTATCTCAAATCTTTAATGTCATACAAAGCATTTTTGAAATGAAATTGTAAACATGTAAAAATGAAAATACTATGAAGCATGGACTCAAGATGAATGATAATGGTTGCAATTTTTATTTATTATCATTAGAAAAGTAAAGTTTGGCTTTAACTTTAGCTACCAGTGTCTATAGCTTGCTTACTTTTGACATTAGACTCATGTGACGTAATAACGTTGGATTATTTGCATCATTGCATGCATGGTATAAATAAGATTCATGAATGTATGTTTAAAAGACACTTGCATATGGTCTGAATTCGACAGTTTTTTAGGAAATTTAATGTTATAAAATCGAAAGGCGAGTGAAGCAGCAAGTAAGCATGCATGTGACTGTCGACAGTATTATTAGTGAAGTAAATAGCGTATTATTTATTCATTAGTTCATACTAATTATTGTGCGTAACTGTAATATTTATTGTAGCTATATAAGCTGCATGGACACACCTATAGTGCTATTGTTGTTAACGGCACGGACAAGGACGGTAGTCCGATATGTTTTTTCCATCGCATTATTACAATTGTTTGTTAATAAACGAGTAAGAATACCTGTTGGACGATTTGGGTCAATCGCTTAGGCGAAAACGGAGCACTGTCATTTCCCAAAGGCCGGAGTATATAATCTGTTGAAGATGATAATAGACTGTGAACTATTATAAGAGGTATAAGTCAATGAAATTATTTTTAATCTAAAGAACAAGCAGACCTACGGCAGTATAAATAAGTGCTATAGCACCTGCACCAGAAAGCGTCGAAATCGGTCTATTAATATAATTTCTTCAACACCTTCAAAGATGTTGACGAATGCACGATTGGGATTCACAACTGTGACGATCGAGCAACGTGTATAAACACCGCCGGGTCGTTCAATTGTATCTGCTATCCAGGTTATACAGGAGATGGAATCGCATGTGTAGGTACGTATACTTTCCATTACAACTTTGCTAGGTCGCATGTGAATTTACCAGTCGCTTGGAAAGAGGCACAATTTAATGTGCTAAAATTGAAAACTCGAGAAAAATGCGCCACGAACAAGCTAACGAACTTGAAGAAGATAACAAACAATTAATAAAGAGAAAACATTCTACGTTTTTCTATACGGTTGTATAAAAACAAGCGTGGGAGTTTGGGAGAACGAGAAATAAATCAGTGGGAAAACAAGCACGTAGGGCGAGTTTTAATTCAACCTTTTTTCGAAAGAAGTTTTTTAGAAAGTGGTATCTCGCAAGTGTTTCTATATCTGTATATAAACACAGAAAAAATATTTTCTACTTCTTTTATAATATAACTCAATAAAAAGATTTTGTACAAATATTATAAATCGATTCAACTACAAATTCTCATTACATTAGGGCCTGTTTGCACGGTCCAATTTTATCAACTCAGTGAATTTTGACCAATCATAATGCAGGAAAATCAATAGTGACCTCGAAATTTATACTAAACTGTGTAGAAACACTCTTCTCGACCAATTGACACGCGCGTATACTACAAATGTTACGAAAGTTATTCAAATATAATCAATCATAAAGGTGTTCATGCTACTATATATAGCTATACAGTAAATCATTAAATTGTGAAAAGCAACTTTGTCGTCGAATATTCACTTTTGTCACCTTTGAAGATATTGAAGAATGCACGCTTGGGATTCACAACTGTGACCATCAAGCAACGTGTATAAACACCGCGGGGTGGTTCAATTGTACCTGTGATCAAGGTTATACAGGAGATGGAATCGTATGTGTAGGTACGTATACTTTTGATTACAACTTTGCTTGGTCGCATGTGAATTTACCAGTCGCTTGGAAAGAGGCACAATCTAATGTTCTACAATTGAAAACTCGAGAAAAATGCGCCCCGAACAAGCACACGTTTTTTTTGCCTTGAGCATGTATAAACTGTTGAAGAAGATAACAAACATTTAATAAAGAGAAAACATTTTCCTTGTTTATAAGAGTTATATAGAGACAAGCGTGGGAGTTTGGGAGAACGAGAAATAATCAGTGGGAAAACAAGCACGAAGGGCGAGTTTTAATTCAACCTTTTTTACGAAAGAAGTTTTTTGGAAAGTGTTATCTCAGAATTGTTTCTATATCTGTATATAAACACAGAAAAAATGTTTTCTACTTCTTTTATAATATAACTCAATAAAGAGATTTTGTTCAAATATTATAAATCGATTCAACTACAAATTCTCGTTACATTAGGGCCTGTTTGCATGGTCCAAATTTATCAACTCACAGACAGTGAATTTTGACCAATCATAATGCAGAAAAATCAATAGTCACCTCGAAATTTATACTAAACTGTATAGAAACACCCTTCTCAACCAATCAACACGCGCGTACTACAAATGTTACGAAAGTTATTCAAATACTGTATAATCAATCATAAAGGTGTTCATGCTGCTATATATAGCTATACAGTAAATTATTAAACTTTGTCGTCTAATATTCACTTTTATCACCTTTGAAGATATTGAAGAATGCACGCTTGGGATTCACAACTGTGACCGTCGAGCAACGTGTATGAACACCGTTGGGTGGTTCAATTGTACCTGTGATCACAGTTATACAGGAGATGGAATCACATGTGAAGAAGGTACGTAGCTACTTTGCATAACAACTTGCTAGTTCGCATGTCAATTTAATTTATCAGTCATTTGGGAACATAACCTTAAGTTCTAAAATGAAAAGGCGAGAAAAAGGCGATTTTCCACGATTTTCCAATAGCCAGAACTCCAGTTGCAAGCGTTGCGGCTGCAATTGCTTGTCAATAGTATACAGTGAGCCTATCGCGAGGCGCGATTGCTCATTAACAGCCCAAACAGAAAGTGGAGTTTCTTTGGGGGCCATGGTAGTTACGCTGCGCAAGTCTAAAGATGTCTTTTCCTTTTATCACTGGAACTATAGTACTTTGTAATTATAATAAAATCTCACTTAAGTATGTCAAAGTCATACGTAAGCGTAAAAACTGAACAGTCAGCAAATGAGTCCCTTAGGAGGATACCGTAAAATCTTTTGAAAACGATGAATTAGTAGCTAAGCATATTGAAGGCGTATACAGTACTGATCAAAAGTACTCTAACAATGTTTGCACAGCCTTCATAAAAATGCTCATATCTACTTTAAAACAAAGCAATTTTTATGAAAATTTTACATGTTACAAAGCGAGTTCTTTCGCACTGTTCGCAGCTATTTTAATTTACTATTTTAAACCGAAAGTACATTTATAAACAAACAAGTGCATTTACTACTTTTTTTTAGTTTTGAATAGAGATCGAATAATGCCAACACATTACGGATGTATTTGGAATAGGTTCTCCTAATCACAGTCAACATCTGTAATTTACAACACCAAGAGACCCAAGTTGCAGGGCTTTGAATATTTAATGTTTTATGCTCATTTAAAAATTTATGCACCTAAAAACTGTTTTTTGCACTAAAAGGCCTGCTTATTCTGAAACTAACAATATTCTGGAATGGAATAGTGGGAAAACAGTGGAAAAGTTCAAGCAACCAAATTAATACGTCATTACCACGCCCACAACGGGAAATGAACAGATACTAAGCTCAAGATATCATATCAACGGAGAACTAAACTAATACCACGCCAAAGTCGTCATACCAACGGAAGCTAAACTGATTCCTCGCCCAAGACGTCATACAAACGGAGAAATAAACTGATACATCGCCCAAGACATCATACCAAGGGAGAAATAAACTGATTCCACGCCCAAGACCACAATTAAACTAACGGGGAAATAAACTGACACCTCGTCCAAGACGTAATCTTTGTAAGTCAAGAACTCTCGAAACTAAAACCAACTAAAGCAACTGGTCTTGACGGAATTCCAGCGAGAATGTTAAAGGATGGGGCCATTATAACTGCAGAGCCGATTGCATATATTATAAATCTAACAATGTCGACAGGAAAAATTCCAACAGAATGGAAGGAAGCTAAAGTCACGCCTGTTTTTAAGCTCTTATCTCTAAGATAATGGAACGCTCAGTGCAAGTACAGCTCGTGGTATTTCTCACTGAAAACAACGTGCTATCTAGGTATCAATCTGGCTTTCGAAAAAAACACTCAACTGAAACTGCAGTTATTTATCCTGTCGATCATATACTTGAACACATGGACAAACAGCAATTAACCAGTGCCATATTTAAAGATCTTAAGAAGGCATTCGACCTCGTTGACCATGACTGTCTTCTTCATAAAGCAGAGCACTATGGAATCAGAGGTCGAAGTTTAGAGTGGCTTCAAAATTATCTCACAAATCGAACGCAGAAGGTAAACTATGCGAACGAACTATCCCCTAGCCTTGTTTTAGAATATGATGTTCCTCAAGGGTCCGTGTTGGGGGCTCTGCTGTTTGTCCTATACATCAACGACCTACCGGAATGCCTAATAAATTGCTCAATAAGTACGTACGCTGATGACACGATCATATTCTACACTGGTCCTAATACCAATGAAATTATGAACATCTTACAAAACGATCTAAACCGAGTAACACAGTGGATGGCTGATAATAGGCTTGTTCTAAATCAAACAAAGACGAAAGTTATGCTCTTTGGAACAAAACCACGACTTGACAAGACTTCAGGCTTTAATGTCCAGCTTCATGGTCATGACATTGAAAGAGTCCCAAAATTTAGTTATTTAGGGGTACTGCTTGATGAACACATAACATGAAAGGAACATACTGAAGTAGTATGTAACGAGTTTGCCAAACGGCTAGGTTTACTATCGCGAATACGTCCCTGTTTAACACTAGAGGCGTCGAAGAGCGTATACAACTCACTGGTGTTGCCAGTTTTCGACTACACCGATGTCATTTGGACAGAGTTATCTGTTGGGTGCTGTCAAAATCTTCAAAGACTGCAGAATCGTGCAGCGCGCGTAATATTACAACAGACTAGTTCTAAGAATACGTTTTCTAGTTTGAACTGGGTGGATTTAGCCACTCGTAGAAGTAGGCACAAATGTATCTTAGTTTTCAAGTGCCTAAATAATTTAGTCCCAGCGTATCTAAGTAAATACTTTGTGAAAAATCATAGTATCCACACATATAATACTAGAAGAAAAAATGATCTGCATCTTCCAAAACCAAAGCTTAGTTTAGGCAAAAGAACTTTTAGATTCTCTGGAACACTTCTTTATAATACACTTCCGAGCAAAATAAAGAATGCTACAAGTTTGTCTAATTTTAAGCATTGTATTCAAAATCACTGTTTTTAAGCTATAATGTAATATTGTTTTGTAATCATTTTTGTATCTCATATGTACATAGTTTTAACAATCTCTTTAATAATAATGTAATGATAGGTAATTAACTTAAATTTTGTAATTATTTTATTATATGCAGGGCCCCTAAGGATACCAGCCTTTGAGCTGATTGGGCTACCCTGCTAAAATAAAGTTTCTATCTATCTATCTATCTTTCATACCAACGGGGAAATAAACTGATACCTCGCCCAAGACATCATACCAACGGGCAAATAACCCAAGACATCGTACTAACGGAGAACTAAACTGATACATCGCCCAAGACATCATACCAACCGAGAAATAAACTGATACCACGCCTAAGAAATCATACTAACGGACAACGAAACTGACACCTCGCTCAAGACGTCATACGAACGGAGAAATAAACTGATACATCACCCAAGACATCATACCAACGGGGAAATAACCGAAGACATCATACGAACGGAGTACTAAACTGATACATCCCTATGACATCATACCAACCGAGAAATAAACGGATACGACGCCAAAGATATCATACCAACGGAGAACTAAACTGACACCTCGCCCAAGACGTCATACCAACAGGGAAATAAACTGACACCTCGCCCAAGACATCATACCAACGGAGAAATAAACTGATACATCGCTCAAGACATTATACCAACGGGGTAATAAACTGACACTTCGCCCAAGACATCATACCAACGCAGAAAAAAATGATAAATCGCCCAAGACATCATACGAACGGCGAAATAAACTGATACATCACCCAAGACATCATACCAACAGGGAAATAAACTGACACCTCGCCCAAGACATCATACCAACGGAGAAATAAACTGATACATCGCTCAAGACATTATACCAACGTCATACCAACGCAGAAAGAAACTGACACCTCGCTCAAGACGTCATACGAACGGAGAAATAAACTGATACATCGCCCAAGACATCATACCAACTGGAACTAGACTGATACCTGGCCCAAAACATCATACCAATAGGAAATACTGATACCACGCGCGCCCAATACATCATACCAACGGGAAATAAACTAAAATATTGATTTCAAGAGACCGAATAAACATCGGGAGCGAAATTGGGGAGATAGAGATAATCGCCAGAGCAAAGCGACTAAAACAGAAGAGATACTACAACAGATATTTGGAGCTCAATGGTAGTGGCTATGAGTCATTTTGTAAATGGGCGGTTTTTTAAGTCTATTTTTTCGTACTGTGTGCGAAGGTCAAATGTGTGCGCTCTTTATAGGCGCCTACCTTACATCTCCGTTTTTTCGAGGCCCCTCATGCATGACGTCCCGGTATTTCTCGTCAGTCTGGTATATCATTTACTTCTAAAAATTACATATTTTCTTTAGGTCTTCAAGGAACTGATATACCAATTGATTCTCCTTGTCGGGAATTTTACGGCAAAACAAATCTGTCGCAAGACAGCATTGAGATGGCACATTATCAAATGCATCCATTCTATCCCTTAGTGTACACCTCATGTTCGGTGAATCTTTACCACTAATCTGTTCCGTTTATTCTTCCTGTTTTCGATATCGTTTCCAGCAAGATTTTACCACCGTGTTGGATTTGTGTGATCAGGTCTCGATGGATTGCAGTTATGCAATTAGGAAAATTGAAATTCCCAATTTCGACTTTATTACAACAATGTTCTTCGAAGCCTCGTCCAGGGAATACCACAAGTACAGAATGTTTCCGTGAGTATTTGAAATTGTACTTGAAATTTGCATAGCATGACCAAATTGTCACGCTGGCTACGCTACTGAACAAACCACTTGATGATAAGGACAAATCGCTTCCATACCATTTTTCAAAATGCCGGGTATTTTAAATGCCATTTAATTTCCATTAAAAGGGCGAATAGGTCTAGTTTGTGAATATCTTAAATCAATTTCTGAGATATTCTGGCGATGGTTTATAAAAATGAAATAAAAGAATTTTTATTTTCAAGGGCCAACAGCAGCGTCTACGCAAATACAATCTAGTAAGTATATTTCAGAATCTGCAGTTACCCGCCATTTTTGGGTTACTTTTTTTCAAGAGCATAAGACCTCGTAACGGCGACTCTTCATTTTTGTGCTGAATTTATTCTTCAAATTGTGTAAAAAATTGCTTCGTGTTGTTATATTTCTTTAAATTCATGTGCGAGAATTGAAAGTACCCCAAAAACGTGTCATCGTGAAAAAGGCTAATTTCAATAACTTTGCAGAAATTGTACACAAAAACTTTCCCCAGGATTTATTTTAAATGGCACTTTAACATCACAGTCTTGATCATGTCTTGAAATCGAATTGGAATGGTTATAATTTTCTATTATGCAATGTTAATCTTGTGTTAAATAGTACTCATGCTTGTGTAATTGATATTTTATTGTTTCAAATCGAATATTAATTTAAATAAGAAATCGCGAGTTCACTTTCACAAGCGCGGTGCAAACTGCAAGCAATTGATATTCAAAGTCATCTAATCAATTTTTCGTCATTTCAATATCTAGATCAGTCATGTTGCTTTGATGTGAAACCGCAAAAATTTTGCCACCCATTCTTCGCTCGATCTTCGCTCAATAGCAGTCAACAAGATGAAGTTATTTTCAGCTTGAGCACGTATATTCCACTATTTCATGCCCTGGCATCACTAAACCAGTCATCCTGTGTAGCACAGTTATCAGACTATCTTTGCCTGAAAAAATTCCAATATTGTGATATGCCCTTGGATGAGGGAAGTGGTGGATGTTCGCCAGGTATTTTCAAGGTATCCCGTGAACATTGCTCGAACATCACAAACACTTCGTCACCTTGTTCTTTGAGTCGTATCAACACCACTCTTCAAAACGCTGGATATAATATTCCAATAACAATGACAGATTTTGACTGCTCGACATTACAGCCCATTCATGTTGAAGAACATTCGTTAAATATTTCACGTAAGTTTTGATTTTATTAATTTACGGAATGGTCTTGAAAAACATACACATAATTTGTAGGTGAAGAAGGAATACGAGCCCTAAAAAAATCTGGAAATACAATATAGTGTACTAGCCTTGCGATTTGAGTAATACCGAAACATTTACTCATATTGGCATGCACGTTTTATTGGTATGTTGTTTGCTAGGCCATGTATTAAATAACGTTAACAAAACCGTTTGTCTCTCTTTCCCGCAATGCATGCATGTAGTTCCGGCAGCAGGGCTATATGTACACTAATTGTTCATAATATGCTGTAAAAAATGCCGGGAAAAGTACGGTATAGAATCAAGCGGGCCTTCGCACTCAATCGCTCAATTCTAGCTACGTTCCTGATTCGCTGCAATTTTCCCTATGATGACTGGTGATGATGGACAAAATTTGTTGATTTTACTATACCGACTCAGATCAAGAACATGCTGTCAAAGCAAATTACAATTAACGCATAATGCTTTAATTTAGGTGTCAAATTACTGTTTATTCTTACAAGCATAAAATGATAAAAAATAATTGGGTATATATACTTTTTGTTGACTTGTTGCAAAAATATCAAGCAGAGTGGCATTACCATTTCGTTTATCTGCATTTAACCCTAGTCGAGTTTTAAGATCAATTAAATCTCAAACATCAGGAAATGTGGTTACTACATCCGTGTTAAATTCAATCACAGTTAATAGAATATACATGGTTTGGAGAGCACATAAAACTACAATAGAACTCATTAACTATGTTGAGGTAGATTTATGCAAAAATTGTTCCTTTCTCATCACATGTCTATTGTATTTTGCACACATAAACCAATAGCAATCTTTTAATTAACATATTATTCCACAGGTAGCCCGCTATTGGATTTGATTTTAGTTAAATATTAAATAAATTCTATGCAAAACGACATGAAGTGTCACCTTCCTTTATTCACTACTGACATATTATCGCAGGCGCCAATTCGTGCGGTGCAGTGTAACCTTTATGTATATATTTTAAGATATATACATTATATACACTACAGTTTGGCAGTGCGGAAATTTTAAAGCGTTAAGATTGTGACTTCCGTAAGAAGTAAATAAACATGGCGGAGTATAGCGGCTGTATTCACATCAAAAACTCTAATCACAATCCTTAAGTCTCACTAAACAAAGCAGAAACATTATACAACTAAAACTAAATAAATTATTAGAAAAAAACTGCAGAAAATGACAGTAATACAGTAAATATAATTTGGTACTTCGCTTACGTATTCACTTCCATTTTCAGCCCTAAAACGGTACTCGCGACTTCCGGTGTTATCACATTTTGGACGATTGTTACGTCTGCGCATACGCGTGACTGAATATTGGTATCGGTACTCGTAGCGGAAGCCGATCTTAACCTCCCTATTGAGATCGGTACAACAAACAGGCCTTGCATGGTTACAGCAAACACCACGTATAGTTGACCCCATTATATAACAGGTATACGTTCAACGAAGGCATCTCTGAATTGCGAACACCATTCACATATTAATTAACTTCGTGCCCATGTAAATATAATCTATACAGATCTTTGTGAATCAAATTCCAAGGTTTATGAGACAGTTTTAAGTTTTTTAGCGTCTCAAACTACGCGCTTTCCAATAATCAGCCAAATTACAGAAAATTTACATCTGGAAATTAGTTTGAAATTTGCCAGCTTATTACGATACAAGTAAATGAGGCAAAATGAGAAGATTTTCCTTGCTCTTTTTGAAACACTCCAGTTCTTAAAGACTTACTTCTTAAATTTTTAAATGTACACACGTCAGAAACTCGTTGCTATGGTACGATTGGAAAATTCCCATTTAAGCCTAATAAATAACTGGAACGATTGTTTAACCTCCCAATTGTTTTTGTGAAGCCAAATTTCGCGGGGCTTTACCTCCAGACACGTGTGTGACAAATTTTGCCTTCATTCGCGGGTAAATCGAGAGATCACTGTGGGGGAAGCGTGCTTCTCATCCGTGGGGGCAGGACAAATTTGAAGGAAATTTGGTTTTGTTTGTTTCATGATTTTTTGACAACAAGTGTGTAATGTTGACAACAATATTTGCACGAAACGGGCATCTAAAAGCTACATATAGACTTTAGCTACATGCGTATAATCACGATCAATTAAAATATCCTGAATTGTGATTGGCTAGTTGTATAATTATACTAGAGAGATTTTTACTCACGGAAGGGGCAATTCCAAATACATTTGATAGGCGTAATTAATACGTTTGAGACGTAGTTACAATAATTCTATTTTACTGATAAAATATATTTCCAATTATAGAGTCCCAAATAATAATAGATGGACTTCTTATTCCACGATTAACGAATTTTTCAATATCAAAGCCAAGTTCAAGGAGCTTTAACGTTAGTTGGAATAATTTACCAAACACGAAGGAGATCAAGCAATATGGCATATTGTGGAGAAAGATAGTGGGAGCTGATTCTTCAAGTGGGGAAACTAATTATCAGCACATTCACTCCACAAAGAAATATTATATATTCAACAATATTTCAACTGCAAATTCACAGTACGAAGTGTTAATAACAGCGATAGGACAGGATGGAATTCCGCAACTGTTTACCACCGTTAATTTTCTAAGCAAAAGTAAGTTGAACTATATAATTTATGTCGATGGTTTTGTTTGAATAACAAACCATGCACGCTGGCGGGTTAAATAATAATCCGTAAGCCGTTCGTTTTTAATATTTTTATGTATATATCGTTCGTGCGCTTGCGTTTTATATTTCTTGAAATATTCCCTGGTCCCAAATGCACAATAACTAGTTAGGTTTTAAATACTACATATCACTAAGGAACTATCGTTGCCAGCCGATGCAGCTTTTTGCTAGAATATACAAAAGAATCCCTGTATCTAGTTATAATTTTGGTACTACGAAAGAAGTAGAAATAGGCTAGATCTCTTCGCCGTCGGCTCCAGTCAGTCAAGTAACGTTATGCTGATGCTGCTTAGAACCAGCTGAATTTCTTCTCCCTAAAGGTTTTTGTCCGGGTGAGGAAGTCGGTTCTCCAGACGCATATGGGATTTTCCAGTGGCCAGAAACTCCAGTCGGAAACGTCACTACACTTGCTTGTCCTTATAACAATCAGTCTATCGCGAGTCGGGATTGTTTTTCAACATCCGAAACAGAAAGTGGAGGTTCTTGGGGGGCGATTGTAGTTACGAAATGCAAATATAAAGACTCGCGGAGTAAAGATCTTTTCATTTTATCACAGGTAATTAATTGCATGAATACCTTTGAATAAAAATCGACTGGAATTCGAAGGTTATTTTCCGTTCCATGCAACTTGTAGATAACTTTTACAATGTAAGTTTCTTTAATGCGAATAGTTTGCTTGTAATCTTCCATCTTACAAATTTCATAACTAAAATAATGGCACCAAAATAATCGCTATAGTTTCTAACTAATTATTGGTCGAAAAGGTGAAATGGCGTATACATGCATGCAACAGTTGAGTTTGTCTTTCATAGGTGCTGAAACTGTTAAGAGAAATTACATTAAATGATTGTTTAACATTTTTTCAATTCAGAATGAAGTTAATAGTAGCAACGTTGTAAACATCACTAAAGAGTTAAGAGACTTGTCTTCCACTAATCGAAACAACACTCTTAATCCTGGTGATATCGACTATATTGCTACCACATTAGAAAATATTGCTCTGGTGAAAGAGAAAGCAAACGAGGTTTGTCAATGTTGAAATTGTTTCTTATTTCTTGTTTTGTTTAGTTTTGTTTATGAGGTGGGGGTTAAAATATAATACGGCTAGTTGTACGTCAATTTGGATGTTTTTATTTTCACATATATAGCTAACATAATTTATTTCAAAAAACTATAGCGAAATAGAATCGTGTTAGGCCTAAATGTCCCTAAAGAACAGGATTGTATTGAATTTGTGAACGAATATGCATGGCAGGGAAAACTCAAATTCAATATCAGGGCAAAACTGTGATTAATGAAGCATTCTAGTAATTTGGAAAAAAAAATCTTTGAAAAAAAGATTATTTGCGTGGCAAAAGTGAGTGCGTCACACATGCCAGGGTTATTATAATAAAGGTTTGATGCTTCGAATCGAAAGAACCTCCCCCAAAAAATTGTCCAATTAGACGAACTATGCATTCTATTTAATGTTAGCATGAGAAAATCGTAACATTTTGGAAGCGTAATATTTTTCAGGCAAGCTAAGATCACACTTTCTTGTTAAAAATAATACATTTAGCAAATATTTTTGTTATCATTTCTGCCGCGTTTTATTTTTTTTCAGACCTGTAGCTATATACATGCAGTTCCAAAAAAACTTTTTGTTGCAACATCATTATTTTTCCGCAGTAAAATTAACGAGATAACTGCATTTAGGTTCGAGCTACGCATTTGGCGCTTTTTATTTTTCATTACTCTGATATACTTGTCGGTCCATGTTTGTAGATTCTTGACGACTTCCTCACAGCTGTAGATAATGTGCTGGACACCCAACTTAAAAATATCCTAAAGAGTCAACAGAATCGGAACTCATCGTCAAGGTATGTACGAGGTCTTATAAATTGATCTGGCAGAGACGTGGGTGATGTATGACACTGTTAAAAAAAATTGAGCATCAGGCCTAGGCTATAAACGTCGCATTTTCGTCACGTCAAATGCAATTCAAACGATAATGACACGGTAATAATAATGATATGATAATAATAATCACGATCATGATAATAATGCTTAATGAGGTTAATCGTGTCATCTATTGTTTGAATTCATTCGACGGGAACAAAATGCGACGTATAACCTTGTCCTCAGTCGAGTGAGTCGCCATGGAGGAAGAAAATAAACGTTTATTAATTTTTCAGGATTGTTGAAACTCTGAACATCTTTGCAGAATCATTAGTTATTGGCGCAGAAGGCAAAATTCAGACTGCGAAAAGAAACTTCGATATTAACTTAGAAACGGTGGAGTCACAGAATTTTAGCGGACTTAATTTTTCGGGTATTCAAAGGAGAACGAATCAATCAGAAAGGAGAAATAATATTTTGAATAAACAGAGCAATGAAGTACGACATGTCTTATCTCCTTCACTCATAATTCCACGAACAATATTCAACGAGTCAACGGATAAAAACAGTTCTGCAAACCAGACAGTGATATTTGTGCTCTATAGAGAAACAAAATTTTTTAGATTATCATTGGCGGATACCAGCAAGACAAAGAGTCGCTTGAATAGTCTTGTAATTTCTGGAAGTATTGAAGGGTTGTCAGTTTCAAATTTGAGTGTCCCAGTGAACATTGCATTACCTAGCCTCGAAAGAGGTGACACGAAAAGCATCCAGTGTTCTTACTGGGATTTCAGCGCAGGAAATTGGTCGCAAGAAGGTTGCAAGTTTGAACGCGTTCTTGAAGATCGAAGAGTGCTTTGTAGTTGTAATCATTTTACCAACTTTGCAATGTTGATGGTAAGATTAATATTAATTATCAAGTGTTTTTTTGTATTTATGAGCTTTGCACATATATTTTCATATTTTCCAGCACTATTTATAATAACAGGTGCATATAGCTTGAACTTCAAGGTTACTTTATAAACTATTAATTATTCGCGTGTAACAAATTTGAAAGGTAGGATACAGTTTGTAATGTACACGAATGCTTTGCTTACGCTCCGAATCCGCATATATCTCATATTATTATATCCGTAAGAGCGTAGAAATAAAATAAAAATGCAGAGCCGGCATAAACCTTTACCAGCAAAATATTACCTCATGATCTTTAATATGACACGAATTACAAGAAACAACCAGGGCAAATTGCAAAGATGCAATGATTTTCTTACATTTTGCGAAATTTAAGAATGCGCAATATAATTTATAGTTCTGCAAACTAATAATACTTGAACAGATATGCAAATTTGCTACGGCAATCTGCATATTCCATGTCCGCAATTTCTGGCCATGAATAATTCATTTATTGACTATTTTCTCAGGACATAGCTCCAGGAGAGAAGACTGTATACATGACAAAATACTTGGTGTAATAAGTTACGTTGGCTGTGCCCTCTCATTTGCTGGGCTCATCTTGACAATAATTACAATACTAATTTTGAGGTAAATATGAATTTTTATAATACGTAAAATTTTTGTTTCTCTATGTTTATATACCTTATATTTTATGTTTTTATGAATTTCGCGAGGCCAGGACTTGCGTCTTGCGAATATGAACATGCTGGTTTTCCACTAGCCACATTTTTGTTCCTATAGTTCTCTCTATCTGGAAAATATTTCTCAGTTGTCTCTATCAGCAAAATGTTTCCCAAAGACAAAAAAAATATATCATTAGGTTCTAGTGGAGGTAAACCGAACTTTTAGCAAAATTTAGGTTTGGCAAAAAATGCAGCAAAAGTAAAAGATCAGTGCTTAAATATATATAATAATTCACAGGCCTCCTATATACGTATCACACAGACCTTCGGTTGGCGATACATCGAAAAAGGGCTAATAAACGTCTCTCTTTAATCACTGTGCGAACGTAGACGTGTACTTTCGTACAAACATTTTCTTTCGCGCTATTTTCTTCCTATATATATTCAAATTTAGGGATCTGCGAAACCAAGTTCCAAGCCAGATTTTGCTGAACTTCTGTATTGCTTTGTCGTTGACGATAATTGTCTTCTTGGCTGCTGTTGAGAAGTCTAGGACATCATCACTGGCTGGCTGTCGGGCAGCAGCGATCGCCCTTCATTACTTCCTGTTGTCAGCATTCTTGTGGATGGCAGTAGAAGCGTATAATATGTACTGGGCATTTGTGAAAGTCTTTTCCGCTCCGTCCCAATCAAGGCTTTTGCTGAAATGCTGTGTGTTTGCATGGGGTAAGATTTTTACAGATGAGGAAAAAAGGTCATCCTTTTATAGTAGCAGTAATGGTAGTAGTTGTGTTAAAAATGTATACAAGACAGGATCTCTTAGGGGAGGATCAATGTGGGTTGTAACATATTTGCCTAGTTCAATTCCTTTTAGAAATTGCCTTACAGCAAGCTAGACTGTCTGTTGTGAGTCATCTCTTTTCGGTATCAAGTTAGCGAGAAAATTTGAAAACCTTGGTTTCTCGCATACGTACACCATGATAGTTGATGGTTGAATTAATGTTTTGGAGGACAGCTTGCCTTAAATAAATATGTATGTGGCGCGCGTATCAACCTGTAGCACGGTAAAACACTATAGTACTAGTCGAAGAAGGAAAGATGGTTTTAGTCCACCAAAAATATCTCTGGATGATATTAAGTTATCATCTATATGCTTAAATATCATACACTCAAAAAATGGCCATTCTTGGCCGAAGAATCATTATCTTTTGTAATAAATCTTCTTTTGTATTGTGTTACTTAATATCTGTTAATAAATCTTCTTGTGTTATAGGTACTCCTTTTGTAATCGTGGGTATAACAATGATAGCTGCATTAGATAAATACGGTGACGGAACCTAGTAAGTGGCTTGATTTTTGGTCATATTCCATGCATTGTATACACTGACTGCATGACAATGAAAGATAATTATCGATTATACAACACAGAAAAGAGAATACTGAACGCAGAACATGGACTAACATTATTTTCCTGGCCTCTGAGGCATGTAGCTACGAAAAATTAGGTTGAAAAAATCAAACATTCAAATTTTTGTAGGGGGAAATATCAAACAATTTAACTTTTTCCGATAAAACCCTATTATCTGTGAGATCAAATGCTTTCGTAAATATATAAAGGGCTTGTATATTCGACAGCTGGAGCCCTAATCTTAGGCTGCTGCTCTTAATTGACGCACTATTAAATACGCTTTTAATAATTTAATATACTGTATTTGTGTTAAATTCAACTCTTATGTGTCGGAGAAGTAACAATAACCTGTTCTTTAAAGTTTTGTGCGTGTTGATAGTCTTCGCCATCAATACTGTTGTAAATAAAAAATTACATGGTGTCCGTGATTGTCAGCAAATCAGCACTCAACAATGATATGTTTTTCTTGCAACGCCGAATAGACTTTTGCTCTCTGTTTAAGTCGTTACGTGATGAACAAAGTGTAACCAAAGTGTTTTTTTTAATAGTTGTCGATTGCAAGGCGTACCTTTCTTTGTGTCATTTCTAACTCCAACTGTTCTTATCATCATTGGTAATATCGTGGCTTTTTGCTTCATCATTCGATCGATGGTCACTTCTGGTGCCAAGGTTACCTCTGACAAGAAAACAACCGGTTACCAGCAAGCAAGGCGGGGAATTGCAATTATGGTGCTGCTTGGTTTGACATGGCTTTTTGGCATTCTCACTATTGGCGATGCTAAACTGGTGTTTCAATACCTTTTCTGCATTTTCAACACACTTCAAGGGCTGTTTGTGTTCATATTTTTTGTTGTTTTGCCCACTGGAACAAGACGACAACTAAAAAAACTCGGAAAAAGAGTAAGTTATAGTAATCGCCGTAATCTTAAGCTTCAAAATTTGGGGGAAGACAGCTCCCAGTTCAATAAAAATGTTTATTCCAATGACATTACAACGTCGACATCTGGTGCACTTGTGTCAACAAGTCAAAATCCGACTCTTGCCCATCCAGCAATTGAAAAACCTTTAAAGAGTGCCAGTGATTTTGATGAAGGAAATGAAGACATCGACCATGTTAACGACGTACTAGATCAAAAATCGCCTAACGAGGTATGGTTAAACCCAAATTTGACTCGCTACAGTGTGAGGAGGAATGGACCAACTTATACCACGACCATTGAACTAACTATAAAATAAACCCTGGCTAAGCACTAGTTTATATTTGTCTCCGAAAGTATAGTTATGTGATTTTTCACTGATGTATATCCAACATAAAATAATTTCATAATTAGCAGCATCTATATATGGGGACTCATAGAAATTCTTTAGACTGCCTATGTGACTTACTAAACTATTCATATATACTGATATAGGTAAATTTATTGATAATTCTTTGATTTTTTAATGCACTTAATCTGAATTTGATGAATATTGAGCAAAGAAAGTAACGGTTAAGTACTTTTAAGTTTTATATTCATGATCATATAAAATAATGAACATATATAGGCTTAATTGTATTTAAGATTGACGTGTAATCAGATTATGTTGAATGGGAAAGCATATAAATAAAAGTATAAGAGTATAAAATTTGCTGTAAAAATTGCTGTCTATGTTATTTAAATTTTTTATGTCCCATGCATTTTTGCCATTAGAATAATATGTCCCGATGAATTCCTGGCATAAAGTTCGCAACTATACCTAGCTATGAAACAAGTGTTCCTTCCGGAGCGATATTTTTCCATAAACGGCTGCAATCCAACAGCATAATTTATGTTACTTGCTGTTCAGGTGTTGTAGAAATTAAGCCTAAATTTAAAATCGGTAAATATATCGTATACGTTATCCAGAACAGTTCGTTTTGATACTGATATTCTGACTGTTGTTCTAATGTTAAAATTATTTTGATCATCAACAAGGTAATTCATTAGCTCTTATTGATACGATACAGTTACAAACAGCTGTTATTGATAGGATACAAACAGTTGAGTAACGCCTTTACTTTTCCATTAAATATTAGGTGGAAATCAACGACTACGCTTCTTGGGCTATAGAATTTAGAAAGTTAAAATAAAAAAATGATGAAATATTATCAACAATTCAATTTAGTGGTTCGCAATTTGGTGTTAATATGACTTCATACGAAAACTGCACGACATGCACGAATTACGATTAACTGATATGTTTATAAACTATATGGGTAAATTCAAATAGAATTTATAGGTTTTTCAACTCATCGCAACTGTTGTACAGGTTTTAGCATCAACGAGAATGAACAAATATGCAGGAATGTTATTTGTAAAGAATTTGGAGTACAGAAATTCTAACAATAGGCAATTTCAATAATTCTCGTATCTTATATGAGACACTACAGGGTGTTTCAAAAAAGCTGGTTTTCAATTACTGGTAATCGTCGTGAAAAGTGTTAGAATTAATATTGGTGTTGTTTGCAATGAAGAATAACGATTTATACAGAGAAATTTCTTGGAAAACTACTCTTAATATAGCTACATGAGTATCTATGTTCTTTAAATCAATTTTCAGAGTGAAATTCCAAGAAGAAATAACGAAATAACGATATGTATATAAAATGAAATACATAATACAATATAATATATATATCCAATAGATAAATAATAACTCGCCCTATAGGCTCGTTTTCCCATTGATTATTTGTCGTTCTGCCAAACTCCCAGGCACGCGTGTCTCTATAATTAACTGTATAGAAACAAGAAAAATGTTTTTTAGTCTTAAATAATGTAAAATATATCTATAGTAACCTGACTGCTCACTTATCCCTTGTCAAATTAACTATATGCATAACTTTAAACAGGACTCAAATGTTCATCCACACATCGCGCATTACTTGACTTTCAGCGTACCACGCGAATAAAAAAAAATGCAGGAATGTTATTTGTAAAGAAATTGGAGTGCAGAAATTCTAACAATAGGCAATTTCAGTAAGGTTGAAACGTTAAGTAATGGTTCAAGAGGAGCCTTTACTTTTTCAGAAAATATTAGGTGGAAATCAATGACTACGCTTCCTGGGCAATAGAATTGAGAAAGTTAGAATAAAAAAATAAAGAAATATTATCAACAATTTAATTTTGTGGTTCGCAATTTGGTGTTAATATGACTTCATACGAAAACTGCACGACATGCACGAATTACGATTAACTGATATGTTTATAACCAATATGCGTAAATTCAAACAGAATTTGTAGGTTTTTCGACTCATCGCAACTGTTATAAAAGTTTTAGCGTCAACGAGAATGAACAAATATGCATGCAGGAATGTTATTTGTTAAGAAATTGGGGTACATAAATTCTAACAATAGGCAATTTCAATAATTCTGTTATCTTATATGAGACACTACAGGGTGTATAAAAAAAGCTGGTTTTCAATAACTGGTAATTGTCTTGAACAGTGTTAGAATTAATATTGCTGTTGTTTGCAATGAAGAATAACGATTTAGCTATACAGAGAAATTTCTTGGAAAACTACTCTTAATATATAGCTACAGTGAATATCCACTTTCTTTAAATCAATTTTCAGAGCGAAATTCCAAGAAGAAATAACGAAATAACGAAATAACGATATGTATATGAAATATAATATATAATACAATATAATATATATCCAAGAAATAAATAATAACTCGCCCTATAGGCTCGTTTTCCCATTAATTATTTGTCGTTCTGCCAAACTCTTAGGCACGCGTGTTTCTATATATAATTAACTGTATAGAAACAAGGAAAATGTTTTCTAGTCTTAAATAATGTATGATAAATGTATAGTAACCTGACTGCTCACTTATCCCTTGTCAAATTAACTATATGCTTACATTTAAACAGGACTCAAATGTTCATCCACACATCGCGCATTACTTGACTTTCAGCGTCACCACGCGAATAAAAAAATATGCAGGAATGTTATTTGTAAAGAAATTGGAATGCAGAAATTCTAACAATAGGCAATTTCAGTAAGGTTGAAACGTTGAGTAACGGTCCAAGAGGAGCCTTTACTTTTCCAGAAAATATTAGGTGGAAATCAACGACTACGTTTCTTGGGCTATAGAATTGAGAAAGTTAGAATAAAAAAATAATGAAATATTATCAACAATTCAATTTTGTGGTTCGCAATTTGGTGTTAATATGACTTCATACGAAAACTGCACGACATGCACGAATTACGATTAACTAATATGTTTATAACCTATACGGAAATTCAAACAGAATTTATAGGTTCTTTAACTCATCGCAACTGTTATAGAAGTTTTAGCGTCAACGAGAATGAACAAATATATGCAGGAATGTTGAATTTGTAAAGAATTTGGAGTACAGGGTGTATCAAAAAAAAACGCAACCACTTAATATTCATGAATATCCTCTTTGTTCTACAACACAAAAGACGTTTGGCCCCTGGAATGCGAGAAAGCTTGTAATCATATTCTAGCGGCACAATCGTCGGTAAACAAAGTCGGGTGCGTAAACCAACGAGCTGAATTGAAAGTATTTAACGAGTAAAATGTTATTTACAATTTATTTTACAAGGTCGACAGTTAGCATTCAAGTTATCATGCACGACAATAAAAACTCGTTGTTCGGTTGTTAGCTACACCATTATTAGTTTAGCTGATTTGACCATTAGCAGTTGAACTGTACGATTAGAAGCCATTTTAAAATCCCAGGGGCATAAAATCTATTGAGCTTATAAACAATATGAATTTTAGAATATTAAGTGGTTGCGTTTTTTTTTATACACCCTGTACAGAAATTCTAACAATAGGCAATTTCAATAATTCTCGTATCTTATATGAGACCAGAGTTGGTAGATATGCAAATATTTGAGGCCAAATTGTCATTAGTGCTATCAAGAAAACAAAGAAAACAAAAGGCAAAGACAAAGAAAACAAAGAACTAGTGTGATGTTGTTTGGCCTCATATATGCAGCTATCTACCAACCCTGTATGAGATACTACAGGGTGTTTCAAAAAAGGCTGGTTTTTAATTACTGGTAATCGGCGTGAAAAGTGTTAGAATTAATATTGTTGTTGCTTGCAATGAAGAATAATGATTTATACAGAGAAATTTCTTGGAAAACTACTCTTAATATAGCTACATCAATATCCACTTTCTTTAAATCAATTTTCAGAGCGAAATTCCAAGAAGAAATAACGAAATAACGATATGTATATGAAATATAATATATAATACAATATAATATATATCCAAGATATAAATAATAACTCGCCCTATAGGCTCGTTTTCCATTGATTATTTCTCGTTCTGCCAAACTCCCACGCACGCGTGTTACTACATATATATATATATATATATATATATATATATATATATATATATATATATATATATATATATATATATATATATATATAAATATATATATATATATATATATATATATATATATATATATATATATACACCCGTTTGCAAAAACGTTGGCCGCAGATAGATATATAGATAGATACCCAAAATCTAATTAGAATTGCATATGTTGTGTAATATGATTGAAATCCAATGCAAATGTAATCATATGCAATTCTATAATTAGACTTCAAGTATCTATCTATCTATCTATCTTGGGCCAACGTTTTGGCAAACGGGTGTATATATATATATATATATATATATATATATATATATATATATATATATATATATATATATAAACTTAAACAGAACTCAAATGTTATTCCACACGCCGCATTAGTACGACGAAAATTGGAAAAATGTTATTTGTTATCAGAATGTTATTTGTAAAGAAATTGAAGTACAGGAATTCTAACAATAGGCAATTTCAATAATTCTGGTATCTTATATGAGACACTACTGGGTGTATAAAAAAATGCTGGATTTCATTTAGTTGTAATTGTCGTGAACAGCATTGGAATATTGCTATTGTTTGCAGTGAACAATGAATCGTATTCTAGCGGCAATATTGTCATAAGCCTATACTATAGTTAACATTAATCAACGATAGTTAGCGATGCATTGTTGATGGCCAATGACAAAGAAACTTACAAATTAACGAAGAAATTTATTCTCCACTGGTCACCGACAATATCTATCTATCTTGGGCCAACGCTTTTGCAAACGGGTGTATATATATATATATATATATATATATATATATATATATATAATATATATATATATATATATATAAACTTAAACAGAACTCAAATGTTATTCCACACGCCGCATTAGTACGACGAAAATTGGAAAAATGTTATTTGTTATCAGAATGTTATTTGTAAAGAAATTGAAGTACAGGAATTCTAACAATAGGCAATTTCAATAATTCTGGTATCTTATATGAGACACTACAGGGTGTATAAAAAAATGCTGGATTTCATTTAGTTGTAATTGTCGTGAACAGCATTGGAATATTGCTATTGTTTGCAGTGAACAATGAATCGTATTCTAGCGGCAATATTGTCATAAGCCTATACTATAGTTTACATTAATCAACGATAGTTAGCGATGCATTGTTGATGGCCAATGACAAAGAAACTTACAAATTAACGAAGAAATTTATTCTCCACTGGTCACCGACAATATCTTTCTCCGACAGCATGTGCATGTCCTATGACAAACTGTCCGTTAAATAAAGTCGGTTGCAAAACGTGAAGATTTATTAACCAGAGAGCTATTTTGTTTTAAGAACAATATGAATTTTAAAATATTACATTTCTAGAAAAAATAACACACCAGTTTTCCACAAACATTGTTTCATTGTTTTAATTGTTCATGGTAATTAAAACGAACATATACCTGCATTTACACCTGTATGGGAACGTATATAATTATATCAGAACTTATCAGAGTAGTGCCATTACAGTTCTGACAGAGAGTGCGACAGTTAGAGAAACACCAAAGACGATCGAACTCGTAAGTCATTTTTAGTTTTGATCTTGAAATAAGAAATAGAATGCTCATTTAGTTAGTTAGTTTGAAACATATTAAACTTTGTGTTTTCAAAATATCGTATCGCGTTTGCGTGCGCGCGTATCTTTATTTAGAGGTTTAGGGCAAACCGTTTAACGTTAGCGGTTTGACGTTGCCGTTGTTGGAAATTTGACAGCTAGTTAGAAGTCATTTACCTATATCTTATGTGTACGATTCTAATTTTGCATCCAGTTAACAGTTTCGCTGTTAAGTCAAATGTCGTTTACACCTGGGTTGAAAAGAAACTCCATTTTAATAAGCGACCATCGAACTACGATAACGTACATTAAAGAAAATCGGTAAACCTCATTGAAAAAATGCTCGAAAATTACCACAAAGAAAATTTGGATAGATCCAATAGGTGTACTAGGAGTGTGTATAGTGTATATATATACGTGAACACTATTGCAGTGACAAAATGCTGAGGTAAATGAGCTACGTGAAAATACATGCATCTTCAGCGGCTGCATGCAAGACACCACGTGAACCGCGGCAAGCGGCAAAATTTCAACGTCAAGAGAACTAAAGCTCTCTTACGCGGGAAAGACTCTAGTCCTAACATTAAACCAAAGATATAAAATTAATATTATTAAATTCAAAATCATTTCTATACAATCGTTATCCATGTTTATTTTATAGCTATGTCCCAGTATTTGAACGAATTATATTGCCCCGGAACTTAAAGTTATAAGATAAGCATTGTCTTTGAGTTATACTCCAGCCATTAAATTCGCTTTGCTTCCGACGGCAAAGCGGCTTTTGCCTGCAAATGCGTCCGTGCCGGGCCACAAGTGATGACCAGGAATGAATAACCGCCTTGACGCGAAGTCAATAATAAAATCAAACCTAAATTTGATGCACTATAACACTAAAGACGATAAGATCTATCAATTTTCGGTTACGAATTACGATGACATTTTTACATCTAAAAACACACATCGAATAGGGAACTGATATGCACATGCAACATGCCGGAGAAATGAAGGCCAAACGTTTTATAGCACGAAAAACGATCCCTTAAGTTGAGTATAATTATATTGACTTGTTTTCTTTGAGTATCCGAAGATTTTTATTATGAACGTTGTAAACAATATTGGCAGCATTCTAAATCAACAGTGTTTGTTGATTTCCCCCGGGAACTTTCAAGCCTTTTTATTCGTAAACCAGAGAAAATAGAAAGCAAACTACACAGAAAACAGGCCCTTCAAACTAAAAGAAATTTTGAACTAAACAGAAAACAGGCCCTCCAAAATAAGAGAAATTTTATATCCCCTCCTTGAGGCTTGATGATGAGTCCCTTGACTGATTCCTACTTTAATTGTCATTAATTTTGTTGCATATATATATGGTTGCAAAAACGTTGGCCGCAGATAGATAGATAGATAGATAGATACTCGAAGTCTAATTATAGAATTGCATATGATTACATTTGCATGGGATTTCAATCATATTACACAACAACAAAATTAATTGTGGTCTTTCGTTACCTTTGATGGATTTCTCACATGCCCTATTCGAGTAAATAAAACTGAATCAAGAAAGAATTGCCGGATCGAGCCTACAATTTGAAGTGATTTGCATTTACGCAAATGCTGGTAAGAAATTTCGCTGCTTTATTTATTTCTATATATTTTATGCAGCACGTGAACACCATGAAGACAGTGATTCTGGCGTTCTGTTTGCTACTTGTTAATGCAATGAATATTATGGCTTGGACACGTTTTGATGCTCCATGGTCCTTTCAATGTGGACGCCGTATGTTAACTGCTTTTTTTTGCTCTGTTTAATGAGAAATTAAGTTAGGAAAATGAGGTGCGATGGTTAACAATTTGACTATGACTTCTTTTCAATGTGTAGGTGCATCTATTAGTCACATCAGCAGTTTCCATAGCAACCATCATGAAGATCGGTCGTGGATTTTTCACTGCAGACGTAACGCAAAAATTACGAATAGATGCGGCTGGACTGGATTCGTCAATTGGTTTGATCGCCAAATATTATTCCAATGTCCAAATGGAGTCATCACAGGTAACTTAACGTCCAAGGCCCGTTTACACTAGATGTGAACGAGTGAATCAGAGTATTCGTAACTTATTACTCGTTCACGTCTAAAAAAATAAGAAAATCGTACATATAAAATCGCAGGAAAATCGCAAATGTACACGGTCCTGTACCCAGAGGATTAATAATGGTCGGGATCGTCGTCTAAATGTGCATAAATCTCCGGTCGCAATATGAAACTAGATGAAAACGCATCTCGGACACTTTCATTTAGTTAGTGACTTAATTTGCATTAACCACTGAGTGATTCCACCCTTTTCAGATGGGATCTTAATTTTCAAACATCCTAATTTTCTGTTATTATATGAGGTTATATGGGTAGATTAATGTTTTGATTGTTTTCTGCCTTCTTAGCAGTAATTTGAGGTCTGATTATTTTATATAATTTTTATCAGGTGTACGTTCTTACCACAGTAATCATCATGAAGACAGACGATTTAGATTCAGATGTTGTCGTACAAGACGACATAATCGTGATTGTACCTGGACTCCCTTCCAAAATTACTGGGATGGTAAAATGAATTTTAATGTGGCGAGATACAAATTTCTTGTTGGCGTACAAAGCATTCACGACAATAGAAGAGAGTAAGTTTGTAATATCAACGGCCAGAAAATTTGGACATAGTTCATAGTTCTGCAAACGAATTATATTTGAACAGATATGCAAATTTGCTACGGCAATCTGCATATTCCATATCCGCAATTTCTGGCCATAGCTATTGTTCCTTTGTGTCATCTCTAAAGTATTCTTAATAGCAATATCGGTATTTAGTGGAACAAATAACTTAGTCAAACATTGTATAACATTATCTTTAATTTAATCCAGTACCTTTGGCATTTTACTAGGGACAGAAGATGGAAATTCCTCGTCTGTAGAAAAAATTAAATTGACTTTGCTAATCAGTACATTGAATGTAATACATTCTTTACTGCGTTATGTAGAACATGTCATTGATAGATGTAATGAACTCTTGCATGCCCTTAGTAGAGCATATTAAAAGATACAAAACTATTTATTTCGTCTCGTATAATTTTCAGTTTCGGTGTCAATAACAAGCGTTCGTGCTTCGTTCGGCAGCTAAAAAGCGTAAAGTGTTGTGGCATAGTTATATTATTCCCCTTTTAATATAGTTTACTTATACGTGCTTCATACATATAGATAAATCAGAATACATGTGCCGGAAACAAGTTACAATGACGTTATACAAATATAATAGATTAAAAAATTGCTGCTAAAGTCTGAACATAAGTTGAAAGTTCGGCATATCACTTTTCGTCTTTAGCCTCATCGCCAAATAACTTCAAAGGTACTTCTTCGCCTTTGGCTGCTCTATCCTTTGTCAGTTTTTTTACCTTGTTCGTCCTCTGTCGTCTGACGCGAAACAATACGACGAGAACGATTATGACAACAAGGACAACAATCACAACGATAATGACGACGACGAGAACCCTCTTGTTTGTTGGGCCATCTTTGTCGTCGTCAGCGTCAGATTCACTTTCTGAAAAATGGTAGGGATAAAGGTGGCTGTATGATGTTTATAGGTTGTCTGCAACGTGTGGTTAGGCAGTAAGCCAAAAATTAACACGTGCATGTTTGTATGAACTAGGCCTTACCATTCATCTCAAACGTCATATTGCCAAGTTGACCAGTGCTTGCCGCTTTGTGTAACGGTTCAAGAGGAGCTTCTGATTTTCCCGAAAATATCAGCTGAAAATCTACAACTACGCTCCCAGGTCTAGGATTAAGAAATTAACATACAGTTCGTTTCAACAATAAATACCCCAGAGCAGTGTGATTTGGGAATGAACAGAGAATATGAATTAGCATACCTGAAACCTTTCACGATTACGTAGCTGAAGTGATGTACTTTTTTGTAAATTTTTCTTATCTGTTCAATATAAAAATATAGTAAAACAAAAATGAAAAATGTTTCCAAGTTGAAAAGTAAACTTATATCGCATCAGTTCAAAGCACTATCAAGGGAATACGTAAGTTTGTATATACGTATTTGTGTATTTTCTTGAAATGGACCCTTTCGATAATTACGTCACTATGTTTTAAATTTAGAATAATTTTAAATTTGAGATGGATTTTAAGTTTTACTCGCACGAGCCACGTGCAATGATACAAAACATTGTTCTTCAACACATGCAGGAAAAATAATTTTTAACTCTGACCAATAAATGTGGAAATAAGCCGTAAACTTAAAACGAGGCCACCTGGCCACGACCAGGAACCTCGTTCTCGAGTAGTGGCTAATTTCCCCACTTATTTGTCAAAATGAAAAATTTTTTTCACGCATGTGTTGAAGAATGATGTTTCGCACCTTTACACCTGGCTCATAAGAGTAAACTTAAAGTCTATCTCTGTTAAGGTGGTTTTAAATTTAAAACGATAATGCTCTGACGTAATGATTCATTAAAGGGCCATTAAATACGCAATTCTTTCAACCAACAGAGAGAAGGTCCCGGCAGTTATTTGTAACGTATCGGCGCTATTTTCGTTTTTTTTGAGCGGGCAACATTTTTTTCAAGGTTTCATATCTTTCAAAAAATTTGCACTGTGGTTCACAAAGTAAAGGCCCATTTACACTACGCGATTTGTCGTATACGACTCGTACCCTGGCGTATGTGAACGTATAAACACACGTACAAACGTGACACTTTAAGTTCCAATCTGAACAATATGAATGAAGATTGTGGCATATAGGCCCTCTTTTGCATCCGTCAGAATGATAATTGCATACAACTTATCGTGTAGTCTAAATAGGCCTTAAGATTTCCTCTGCATGCTTTGAGCTTTATCAAAGCACATGCATGCATGGGTTCAATACATTGGTAAACATAGTTTTCCCTGCAATTAATTTTAAAAAGGCAAAAAATCAACCTTGCCACGACAGTTAATGGGATAAAATTTTGAATGCGTAATCATAATTAAATTAATAATTGTGTGTACCTCTATTGTTATTCGTGAGACAAGTTCCCTGTGTAATTTGGATGTATTGACAGTTAAATGCTCGTTCCATTTTTCATCTTTTAATGTCATCTTGGACTCCACATGTATACTATCTCTTCCTATTTGTTCATGTAAGAAACAAAAAAAGATGGTAAAATTCTTTGCCTGTGTAAAATCATACAGGAATATCACATGCACCAGTAGCTAGATCAACAAAGGTCACGACACAAATAAAAAATTAATGCATAAATACCTTTCATATTTTTTAGTTCACAAGATTTCCCATCTCCCTTGAACAATGGGGACATCTTTCACATGTGAATCCCTCCGAATTCAATGCCGTTAAACATTTGAGTCCCGGAAAACAGGGCAGTTGTCTGCATGGATCTGGACGCGTTTCACACTGTTTACCTTTGTATGGTTCCTCACAGTGGCAAATGTAGTCAGATTTTCCAAGAGGATAAGTGATATCCTGCTTTTTGTAACATTTACCATTGTGTTCGCATGGACATGGCATGGCTTTCACGTCGAGAATTAAAACATTTTGGGCGCCCTTTTTATTTTCAACAAGTATATGAACTGTCGAATGACTCCTTAGATCAGATATTGTAAGCAACCCTTTTTCAGTGATTCGAGCATTGGCTACGGTGCGGTTAGAAATTAAAGCAAAAATGAGACCCTCGCCGTCCGGATCATGCGCTTCAATCTGAATTTTAAAATCCATATTCAAGATCCCATACAGCGAGTTGGGAGTTCTTATCACAGGGGGTTTATTTTCTATACAGAAGAAAAATGCAACAAAATTAATGAATTTCAAAAAAATCAAAATTGGTAAACAAAAAAATATTGACTTCATATTTGTGGCAGCAAAAAAGAAGCAAACTTCATTGCCACTTTACCCGTGCAATTTATTTTTCCATCTCCAAAAAATCCTTTATTGCATTGACAAGAATAAGATCCAATCCTATTGATGCATGTACCGTTCCCATGACATTCAAAAGGTGATTGAATGCATTCATCTATGTCTGAAACGATTATAATTCATTTTAAGACTTTATTTTATCACACGCACAATCTTTGAATAGGCTAAAAAAAAATTAAATGCTATTAAAATTAGTACAACGTAGCTGAAAGCAAAAGTACTTCATGCTTGCTTTTCATGATCTTAAACCTGCATGGGTTTAACTTTAATTTGAACTCCTAACCTTAATAAATCCTCCCACTATTACCCTTAAGAACGTAACAGTACCTTGTTGAAATGAGTGTAATTATTGATCTCACCTGAACAGTCACTTTTACCGTCCCCAGTATAACCTCTCAAGCATTCACACGTGTAACTTCCTATACTATTGGTACAATTTGAATTAGGATCACAAGGAGTTTCTACACATTCATCCACATCTGTACAAATAAAGCAAAAATCTTTCTAAGAATCTTGTACGTATTGTTGCCAATTATAATTATGATTTAGACTTTTCTGCTGTTGTGAACAAAAAAGGTAATAGCACTCTATAAGTTGACCGGGTCTCTCCCTTGCAACCAATCATGTATAAAATCAAAGTCAAAATATGGATTGCTCGAATACATCGTAAAATTGCTTTCGTGAGTGATGTAATTTTTTACCTGAACAGTTTCGTAGACCATCTCCTTTATATCCTCTCACGCATTTGCAGGAAAAGCCTCCGGCAGTGTTCGAACAACGAGCATTGGCATGACAAATATGCGGAGTTTCTATGCATTCATCGATATCTATATATAACAGCTCTATCATACCTTCTGTCTAATGGTATCTGAAACGCGAATTGCTTACCTCTTATACATTGACAAAAAGTCTACCTTAGCTACAATATAAAAAAAAACTTACCTTATCTATAATATAAATAAAAACTAATAAAATATAGTAAACTAAAAATTTTAAAAAATTAACAAAGGCACCGTTGCTAACTATTTTGGTGTATGCCCGTTACTCTATGGAAGCGGAATCAGAGTGAATTTGCACATGGAAATTACTTCAAAAATTGTCATTTTATTACGTAACAGTACGTTGTTGAAACTGAGTATAATTATTGATCTCACCTAAACAGTTACTTTTACCGTCCCCAGTATAACCTCCCAAGCATTTACACGAGAACTTCCCACACTATTGGTACAGTTTGAATTAGGGTCACAAAGAGTTTCTACACATTCATCCACATCTGTACAAATAAAGCAAAATCTCACTAAGAATCTGGTACGTGTTGTAATTATATAGAAAGAAGGAATTTCAACATTTCCAACATAATTATTATTTACATATTTTCCGCTGCTTTTGTGAAGATGCTATTTTCGTAAAACAAATTGAAGAAAAAAGGTAGGTGCTCTATAAGTTGAGCGAGTCTCCTCTAGTGCTCCCCCGGTCCTGGCGGCGTCTTTGCTGGACTGCGTCTTTGGAAATGTTTTGTCCAGTATTTAAGGTAATTGATAGGAAAAAGGGTGTATACAGCTATAAGTCACAGCACAACTTCTCACACTAGAATTCCTTGCTACAGTGCAGGTAACATGCAACCAATCCTATCTAAAATCAACGTATACATATAAATCGCATCGTAAAATGACTTTCATGAGTGATATGATTTTTTTACCTGAACAATTTCGTTGACCATCTCCTTTATATCCTCTCACGCATTTGCAGGAAAAGCTTCCGGCAGTGTTCGAACAACGATATATAATAATATACTAATATTATATAATATATATTATATAATAATAATAAAATAATAATAATGCGGAGTTTTTATGCACTCATCGATATCTATATAACAGAAAGCTCTATCATACTTTTTGCCTAACAGTAACTCACATGTCAGTTACTTAACCCTTCAGTATGAAACGACAAAATGTCTACATTAGTTATATATAAATAAAAACTGATAAAATATTTTTAATTGATCTCTGATAAATTCACTTTAACAAAAACACCGTTGCCAACGATTTCGGTCTTATGTCTGTCATGCTATGCCAGCGGAATTACAGCAAATTTGCATATGGAAATTATGCAGCTTACTAATTGCCAGCTTATTACGCTACAAGCAAATGAGGCGCCAGAAAATAACAGAGATTTTACTTGCTTTGAGAAGAGGCCTATTCTTCGAACCTGAGAAGTATTTATCATTTCGTACTCGCTTTGGCAAAGGCTAATCGTTAGTACATTTTCTACAAATTAAAGATGAATACGAAGGATTTGTCGATTTTTGTGTATAGTATACGCGTGTACAGGGGCTACGCTGGAAGAACCAAGTCCCCAAAAGAAAAGGTAAATTTAGTTTCTTATTACCGAATTTTTAAACTTGGCCATAGATCTTTATGACAGCAACACAATCTGACTTTGCCAAACGTAAAAAGAGACTCTGATTTTATGAATTTCACTGTTTTTTGTTACATTTCATAAAAGTTTGTATTGCAAGTTTGTTTGTGTTCATTAGCGCATCCGCTATCGAACAGCAACGTATCGCAGACTCATTGACCAAAATAGTTAGCCCTGAAACCGCTGTCATCCCACAATGTGCAAATAATTGTTATTTTTGCCAAAATTTATGAAAATATTGCTGTATTTTTTATGTTAAAAGACGTAACGTTTTCAATCTAAGTAACTTCAAATCCAAAGCAAGATAAAAGCAAAATAAGGAGAGATTAGTTTGCTATATATTTAACAATTAGTCGCCGAAGGCGAGGTATTACAAGCCTATATTATATATATGTTTTAGTATAAATTTCAAGATTACAAATAATAATCAACATAGTTTCAAAAAGCTATAGTCACCACCGACTAGTGACTTCAGAGACAGTGAATTTAGACCAATAGTAACCTCGAAGTTTATACTAAATAGCTGTATAAATAATTAATTATAAAGGCTGGATTTTTAAAACTCGGACTGGATTCCTTATAAACGTCCACCCGGGACTGGGTGACAATGCCGAAAAAACTATTGAAAACTTTATACTCCTAATCATTCTTTGATCAACATCCCAATCATATAAGTAAATGCTTATTCCGAGCCGAGCAAATAAATAGGGGTGGGTTCAAAGGGTGCGGTAAATGGCAGAAAACAAGAAACCCAGCAACCTCGTTCCCAGGGCATTTTACTTGATTCGGTTAATTTATGTTTCTTCAAAATATCCGCGAAAGGTGGGTATTTTACCTATATAGTTCCAAAAGGCTCCGGAAACGAGGTTGCATAACTTACAAAAGCGCCAAGCGGCCATGCCAACTTCAATTTCGCATTTGCATTCGGGTATAACTTAAATCTCTGAGCAGAATCTCACGGTGCTCCGCGGCGGTTCAGAAATAGCGAAAAAGAAATTAGAATAATTAACTTTTTTATTGTATGCATGGCAGTCACACTAACATTAATTGTGGGTGAATATTTTTCGGTTCGCGGTGCTCTAGTGAGGCAGATATGTTACCTGTGCAATTATCACTTCCATCTCCTGTGAACCCATATGTGCTTTGACAAACAAAGTATTCATTCTCGTTTACGCACTTTGCTTCTTTGTGACATATTTTTGGATTTTCAACGCGTAGGTCGTTTTCTGGAAATGTACAACGAAAATCAAAATTATACCAACTGATGCTGCTACATGCATGTATTAGCGATATATTTGCATTATACATCTTAAGCTACATTTCGATTAGAATTATTAGACTTGGTCAGATCTAGAGTTATAGAGAATAGTCATGCACTGATGAGAAAGGAATATTCGTGCTTCTCGGAAGTTTAATTTGCATACCTCCGCTAATTTTGGCGCAGATTATTCCACTTCCTGAATATCCACTGGGCAGGGTCCACATTTGAACGCGGCTATCATAACTGTGCACGATACTCTAAGAAAACAGGGATTAGATGCACATTCGTCAAGTTAAAGTCAAAAGTAGGATAGGATGAGGAAATATTGAATAATTCCTTTAATTTCACGTGATTGCGTCGTATGTTAGGGGACTAAAGGGTTCGTTTTCTAAACAAGCAAGCCACAAATTTCACAATTCGTAACTACTGGGCACTTTTTCCGGATTAACATTGGATTAAAACCGAACATACACACGGGTGTCCTGAATTTTCCAAACTCACCGAGTGGACCGAATTAACAAGTGTGTTTTTTAATACAACACTCTAAAATACTTGATCTACAGAGATTTTGTTTCTGATAGGTGATACTTTGTGTCTGATTTTGCTTCTGATATTTCTCGCCCTACGGGCTCATTCTCCCAAACTCCCAAGCGTGTTTCTATAACTGTGTAGAAACAAAGAAAATGTTGTCCATTTCTTAATTGGATGGTCATAAAAATTTACGAAAAATTGACTCGTAAAAGATGCTTTCGGATAGAAAGCATAGATGATGTTATTTACCAGATTGGAGGTCCGTACGTATAGGGAAATATTTCCCAAGGTCTCAAGTACAGCCCAAGGCCGAAGGCCAAGGGATGTTTGTGAGACCGAGGGAAATGTTTCGCTATACGAACGACTAAACTGGTAAATATTAGATTTTTTTTTCTCGCGGTCCGAATTCGTATTTAGCGTTGGCTCTGTGCTTTTAAATCTCGCACGGTCAGATTGCAGGAAACGCTAAAATAGTTATGAATTCGAACTGCAAGGAAAAAATAAAATTATTTATCAACAAATGTATGACACCTATTTGAATTTATTCGTAAATTTCGTTAAAATTATTTTGATTAGGAAAGAACTTATCCTTGAAGGTGAATCTGTTTAAACGCGCCTTTGTGTTGTCAATATACTATATATATAGGTTATCCAGTTCTCAGAATGAACCACATGCAGGGACATGAGCATTTCTGTGACGGCCATATATACAGTCTGATGAATTATATTTCCTCGGAATGAATCACAACACTGTAGTTCAATAACATCCACCAATACAAATCTAGACTTATGAATAGGACTTATCTCAGACACGTTGGAAGTAGGCCATAATGTAGCAACAGTTTACCCGTAGTTCGTCCAATGGTGTGTTCAAACACCGGAAAATGATCCGTAAGGTGTAGCAAAAAATCTGCGCGTTTCCAATAACCCGAACGACCTGAATTTTTCCGACAAAATGCAAAAGGATTGTCAATATGGGGATAACTGTTAAGTACTTTTAGGTTTTCTATCCATATGTTTGTATATAAAAAGAAAGATGAGTAAATAAATTAAAATTAGCTATGTAATTTTGCCACTAGAATTATATGTTCCTATGAATTCCTTTGGTGAAGGTACTCCACCGTTTAAGAAACATTTGGGAGAATGAGTGGTAAATTTATAGATAGTACATGAATGGGCTCTATGAAACGAAGCCTAAAGGCTCTTCTACTAATCACAAACCTCTTCCACTTACTCATATTAAACTGCTTCCATTCATCGCAAAAAAACGCAACCCTATGTAATGAACATATAATTAAAATCAACTGCATTTTCATTGGATGAAACCAATTGCATTTTCTTTAATGTAATTAATTTCTGCAATCAGCTGTGATGATTAAAACCCTAGCCTGCATTGGTCGACGGCCATCGACCCTAGCCTGCATTGGTCGACGGCCATCATTTTCAAAGTCTGAATTAAGGGTATAATATAATGTATATTGTTGCATATATTATTTGGCCCTTTAGTGTATTTTAAATATATGTGCTCATACAAAAGATATATACCAGAATACATGTGCTTACAGTAAGTGCGCAAAAACAGATTAAGTTACATGCAATGATTACGTTTTCCAGTGTCATAGATTAAAAATGGCTCATAAAATCTGAACCTAAATTCAAAGTTCGGCATATTACTCTTCGTCTATGCCCCAGCCTCATCGCCAAATAACTTCAAAGGTACTTCTTCTCCTTGCGCAATTCCTTCTACTTCGCTGTCGGCTCCTTTGGCTTTTGCATCGTTTCTCTGTTTGTTTTCTTTGTTCATTCTCTGTCGTCTGACACGAAACAAGACAACAAGGACGATTATGACAACAAGAGCCACAATCACTACGATAATGACAGTGACGAGAGTCCTTCTGTTAGTCGAGCCATCTTTGTCGTCGTCTGCGTCAGATTCATTAGCTGGAATCATTAAAAACATGAATACACGTTGAAACGCCAATCATGTGTACGTGTAGTCGAACTTCTCAATAAAACGATTCTCCATGGCGTCCCCCGAGCGGACGAAGCCGCTTTTAAAAAGTGCCCATGCGACCGTGACCGGCCTTAAAAACGAAATGCGAAGCGGACGAAATGAAAAATTGCCTCTAAGCCCGTTTTGCATCACGCGAATTTTTCCCTATAATTACTTTTTTCTATAGAAATCGATTGTTTTCTAATTAAGTCAAACACTAATAAATTAGCATAAGCAGGAATAAGTGTTTAGTCTGGCTGCCAGAGAAAAATTGTTGGCATTTGGAAGCATTTTAAACTGCAGAATTGTCGAGTATTTTCACAAACAAATCGGGTTCATCATGCGTTCTGGAAAATCATAAGAGATCTGGACACGAAAACGGTTGTAATATGACGATAATATGAGGACCTAAACTTGTCATGCAACTCAAAAAATGTCAATAAATATGACAGTACTTGTCGTACAATTTTTAAACATCTGGAATCGCTTATTTGCCCATTCAAAACACGTCTTATACACAAATTTGGTGAGAGAATACAGCCTAGTCTCAGGCCTTGTAAGCGCGGGCTGTTATAATTTTGCAGGGAGGGGCAGCCCACGCTAAGAGGCCTAGCAGGCTAGCACAAAATGTTGGGATTTCAAAAATCGTCCCGGATTTTGTCCCTGATGCAAATGTTTTGAGACCAGTACTGCTTGAGAAAAATTTTCTTGCCCTCTATTTTGAATTAAGAATTTGTGCTAGACCTCTCCGCACGTTCAAACCGGTGACGTTACAAGAATGCAAGCTACGCTAAGGAGGACTGGGGAGTAGTCTGGAGAGAATAGCAGAGACAGATGGACAGGTATACGCCGTGAACAAGAAAAATTAAATATGCGCCTCTAATGGCTTTCTCTACGTTGTATCTTTGGTATCATTGGCGGATCTAGGTTTGTGCAGAATAAATTACACAGCTTCATTTTAATTTCAAAACACCTTAATAACAACGCTATTGGTTATAGATTTGAAAATAATATTTTTACATTAAAATCTACCATTGCGATTCGGATTTTAAGCCGAAGTAATTTATTCTGCACACCCCTAGATCCGCCACTGTTTGGTATCGATTATCAATATAAAACAACTCGTGAACGGATCTCATACCATTCATCTCAAATGTCATATTGCCTAATTGACCAGTTTCTGCTTCTTTAAGTAATGGTTCAAGAGGAGCTTTTACTTTTCCAGAAAATATCAGCTGGAAATCAACGACTACGCTTCCTGGGCTATATAGAATTGAGAAAGTAAGAATAACAAATTGATTAAAAAATATCAGTAATTGAACTTTGCGGTGACTAATTTGGTGTTAATATATATGCACAACACGAATTGCGATTAATATTTTGTTACATTTAGCTACTTAAAAAATTTAACATAAATACAAAAGCTGATATCGATACATCCCTATATCCGTGGCATAAGAAGAAACACAACAACAAAATATGTTTTGCGTTAAATTTATTTTGTTAAGCAATTTTCAAAGAACGCATGCAGCTTTAAAGTTTGTTATCTAGATTTATAGAGAAATTCATGACATCCTTTGAGTGAGGGAAGTTATAATCAACTTGGGTTCAATTTACTCTAATCCGGCCAACGGGAAAAAAGTGCTTGTTTAAAAAAAAGTTGAATTTTCGCTAAAATTTGATGTTTAAGCTATTCGTAGCATTTATTTTTGAATGTTATAACTATATAGAGTTCGACTCTGTGAGGGATCCTACTTATGTTCTATATCACTGGGAAGAAGATATTTCTATATTTACAAGCCAGTATATGCTACTTTTTAACAAAAAATAAACTATTCGAGCTTCAATTGAAAGTTTAAATGCATTTTACAATAATTTTTCCACCGATGGAAAAATCAGTTATAATTAATTGGTTCAAAAAGTGCGAGAGGATTTGCTGTTTTTTCTGGAATGTATTTCTGGTAAAGTTCACCTCAGCAATTTTATAGCTGATACAGTACAGGCAAGCGTTGAATTTGTAAGGATCAACGTACCTCATTTTTTTGACAATGAAATAGGCGAACTCGGGAACTTTGATGTAAACTTTTCTAATCTGTTCAAGTTTAAAAAGTGAATATTAAATGTTTACAGAATAGAAAGTAAACAGAATAGCCATTGGCCTTTCGCGTATCCTATCATCAGTCGTTAAGGTAATTTATTATATACCACTTCTCAAAGTTTGGTGTTCGTAGCGTTTCATTGGTCGAGAGCGAATCACGCGAGAGTGACGAAATTTTGATGTCGCCAGCGCGACCTCCTGCAGAGTGGGATAACGTGTTAGCTATCTCATGGGAAATGACAACTTTCATCACGTGTGGCGCACCTGGACGTGCGACCTTTAGACTGTTTATGCATTTGACATTTCAAATGAATAGATAGAATATTTATGAATAGATATTTCGTTGTTTACCTTGTAGTTTGGTTTTTCTTTGACAAGTGGTATATAATAAGAAACTTATTTACTGAGAACTCAAAAAACATTATGTTTTGTGGACCCTCGACCATTCATATTTCGCTCGGCTTCGCCTCGTGAAATATCGACAGGTCTCGAGTCCACAAAACATAATGTTTCCTTCGTTCGCTGTAAATATGTGGTAATTAATTCAGTGATACAATGTGTAACTACCTCTGTTGTTAATTGCGAAACAAGTTTCCTGTACACTTTAGTTGTATTGATGGTTAATTCTTCACTCCATTTTAAATTTTTCAAAGTCATCCTAGACTCCACGTATATATTTTCTCCACCTAATTGCCAAAAAAACAAATACGTGATCGATTTGCAGAAAGGGTGAATTATTATACCCGAAAAGCAGAATCCGAATCTGGTCTGCTAAAAAGGATACTGTTTATTAGACATAAATTAACAGATATAGTGAGTGATTTTAGCTACAACTAATTTTACCATTTCCATGTCACTTTCAATTAAACAAGCGGATTAAAGAAACAATATATGGTTGGTATACAACGCCAGCCAATACTATTCAAGTTTCGAAGCTTTAACGACCTTAATTTGGAAATATCAATGCTCAGCTATACCTTTTATAATTTTCAGTTCACACGATTTCCCATCTCCTTCAAATAGTGGTGGACACTTTTCACAAGTAAATCCCTCAGAATTCAATGCAGATGAACATTTGAGCCCTGGAAAACAGGGCTGTTCCCCGCAAGGATTTGGACGGCTTTCGCATTGTCTACCTGTATATGGTTCCTCACAATGACAAATATAGTCAGATTTCTTAACTGGGTAAGTGATATGCGGCCTTATGTAACATTTACCATTGTTCTCACATGGGCATGCCATTCCTATAATTTCTAGAATAAAGAAATTCCGGCCACCCTTTTTATCTTCAACTCGTATATGAACGGTCACATTGTTATTAAGACGGAATATTGTTAGCAACCCTAATTCAGTGATTTGAGCATTAGCTGTAGTGAAGTTTAGCGTTAAAACAAAAGAGATATCCTCGCCCTCGGGATCCTGTGCTTCGATCTGAATCTTGAAGTCCGTATTCAAGATCCCATAGACCAAACGTGGAGTTGTTATCACAGGGAATTTATTTTCTATAGAAATTAATTTAGAAATTAATTTGAAAAATATTCTAAATTCTTTACCATAAAAAAAGCAAACTTGTAAAATGCGATTGAAATTACCAGTACAATTGATTTTTCCATCGCCGAAGAATCCATTATCGCAATGACAAGCATACGATCCAATCTTATTGGTGCATACACCGTTCTCATGACATACAAAGGGTGATTGAATACATTCGTCTATATCTGAAACGGATAAAACAAACTTCTAGCATGTGCACTCCTAGCGATACATGCACGAAAGAAAGAAATGAAACAGTAAACTATATAAAAAGGAATTCCATTGCTGCCATCCATTAAGCCTGGTTCACATATGACTGTGGCATGCCTGCGAAGTATGTCTGCGGTGCTCTTAAGGCATATGAGAACACTCAGCGCCGGTTTATCGCCGGTGTCTCAGGCAGGCACAAGAGTTGCCGGCGGTATGCCGGGAGAGTTGACTCGAGTTCAACTTTCCAGGCAGGTCGGCGGCAAAGCGACGGTGTACGTAGCACATTTTTATTATTTTTATATATGTGAACACGCTTCCGACACACCGCCGGTGTGCCTGTAGAAGTCTTTCCCACAATACACTTGTGCCTTATCTAAATTTAGTACATGACAGGATCGAATGGCTTGTTGTTGGGGGTGACGCCGAGCTACCGGCGGTGGAGAATTATTATGGATGCACAATTTTCCTGCGGTGCGTCACAGGCTTACCCCAGGCATATGTGAACCAGGCTTTACCACGCAGAAAGATGGGTAATTAGCTATAACCAGATAACCTTGAATTCAGAAATTAATTGGACGCTGTAAAAGTTTTAACCGCGTAACAATGTGATCTAAACACGCCTAAAAATGCTCAAGTTGATGCAAGTTGATATAAACAGGATGGAGCAATGTTGTGCTGCCCACATTGTTCCGAGTTGTTATCAATATTGAACATTATTATATGGCACGTGGTTTCGTGACTAAAATGGCGTGCGCTGATTAGTTCTTTGCCGGTCTGGAATCCCCCAGTATTAGACCGTTGCCGTAGTAACGGTTCAACTCTCATATTTGTGAACAAATTAAAAATTCTTTTTGACACGAAAAATATCGACGGAGAATGGACGAAGAAGTGCATTATTTGGTACATGTGAATAATATATTTACTCATCTTTGATTTTTGTTTATATTACTGTATCATTCTTATTTAACGAGTAAAAAACAAAGTTTTCGAAGCCACTTCAGTGCTTGCTTGGCGACTGGCTGGCGAAAGAGCCGGCAAGAATGCTGCAGCGCATAGTATAAATAAATAAAGTAAATACTGTATGCCATATAATAAATCCCTTATTAACCAAATACGTTCGGTCCGTACGGGAAAAATATCAGACCTCGGTCTTTTATGTACGGACCTCGCTATCGCTCGGTCCATACTGTCAAGACCTCGGTCTAATATTTTTCTAGTACGAACCTCAAATTCGGTTAATAAGTGGTATGTATTGTTACACCCGATTCAGTTTCAACAATATTGTTCAATCAATGTTGATAACAACTCTCAACAATGTTAGCAGCAAGACATTGATCCATCCTTTTTATATCAACTTGCATCACTTGAGCGTTTTTAGGCGTGCAGAATGATTTATTGTATTTATTTTTAAACTATGTAAATGAAGCAATCTGATTGGCTGAGCCCACTGTCAGATGCATCCGGCCTGCTGTGAAAATGAAATGTAAACAAGACGGCAAAACTAAAGCCACGCACGGCTAAAATGTGTGAAAACCTTTCTGGAAAAGGCTAAGAGACTGTTAAAAATAAAAACATACCCGAAAAACTTCTTAATTTGGATTCTCAATAAAGTCAAGGTTAAAAAATAAACACGTTATTTACCGGCAGCTTCGGTCCAAATGCAAAAAACTGTGCCCTCGGTCTCAAAAACAGAGAGCTTTAGCAATAGACAGATTTAGATAGAGGACGGGAACGTCAAGAGTACGTCAAAATATTGCGTGAGGTCTGGTTCGAGGACGTCGCCGTGTTGTTGACAAAAAGAGATTTAGATTTTTATATAGGACGTCAAGAGTACGTGGAATATTTTTTTGGTTTGGAAAATGCATCTTTATTACCGAACACTTGTGTGAATAAATCTATTTCAAGTAAAGGATGATGAACAAAAGGTTTACCATAACAGAGTTTTTAAAATATATAATGAAAGCTATATATGTATGTTACGAACTATTGCGTATCTACGGATTGTCAATGAAACTGAATATAATATATAAAAACTAAACATTTACCAAAAAATATTTATTTTTATTTCCATGTTACCTTTAAGATTGTTCCCAAAGGTGTTTTTAAAATAAAATTTTAGTCGTTAAATAGCGTAATGCTCTCGTGATATTTGCTGTATTTGTTTTTTTATCAACGGTTCATGACAACTTGGACATTAGTTTGGACAAAATGAGTTTGCAATCTGTTCGTGATGCTTTAGTTTTTACGCGAGCTCAACGATATATATCTGATGCTGAATTTGTTTTATTGTACGATTACAACTGGTCAAAACCGCTATTCCCTTATTGGAAATTCGAGTCTTTTAATGTTGATGCTTGGGATGACGAGGAATGCAGGACTGAATTACGGTTTGCCAAGAAAGACCTACCTTTACTGAAGCAGCTGTTGGGAATTCCTGAAAAAATCACATGTCAACAAGGCACAACATGCTCTGGGGAAGAAGGTCTGTTTATTTTGTTGAAACGATTTGCCTATCCATGCAGATACACCGATATGGTAAGCCGGTTTGGGAGGAATCCAACAGAATTGTGTCTGATCTACAACAAAGTGTTAGACTTGGTGTATGAGCAGCATCATCACCGCCTAGAGAGCTGGAATCAGCCTTTTTTGTCTCCAGAAAAGCTTCAAAGTTATGCTGATGCGATTCATAACAAGGGTGCCCCACTTGACAATTGTTTTGGCTTTGTGGATGGGACTGTTCGCCAAATTGCACGACCAAAGTACCATCAACGAACTATGTACAATGGTCACAAAAGGGTGCATGCAATAAAATTTCAAAGTGTAGTTGTGCCAAACGGTCTGATTGCAAACCTTGCTGGACCCTTCGAAGGTAAACGACATGATAGCACTATCTTACATGAATCAGGTCTTTTAACAAGCCTGGAACAGGTTGCCTTCTACAATAACCAACCCCTCTGCATATATGGTGACCCTGCCTACCCCTTGAGAGTCCATCTACAAGCACCATTTAGAGATAGGGAGCTAACACCCGAGATGATTGAATTCAACCGAGAGATGAGTCAGGTGCGAATCTCTGTGGAGTGGATGTTTGGAAACATTACTAAATATTTTAGATTTGTTGACTTCAAAGCACTCATGAAGTTACATTTGAGTCCAGTTGGAAAGATTTACTGTGTTGCTGCATTGTTACAGAATGCTCACACATGTTTGTATGAGAACCTTGTTTCTCATTTTTTTGGTCTTCAACCACCATCAGTTCATGAATATTTCTGGCAATGAGTTGTGACCTAATCTATAGTTTGTTTACATGAGTTATGCCAACTAGCCAATTGCCTATATTTTTATATACTTTTATATACTATATGTATATATATATTTTATATACTTTTATATACTATATATATATATTTTTATATACTAGCCAATTGCCTATATTTTTATATGCATTTTGTCAAGAAAAATCAAATAATTTATTTAATATTGTTCAAATTGTTAATACACAATGTAATTGTAAATAAATTTTGTAACATAAAAATTTATAAATATTTTTTATCTTCTTAGGATATAATAAAGTTATAAAATGTCTGTTAATCAATGACACAAAGTACCATGCATGCCTGTTCTTAATTTATTTTTTAAGCATGTTTGCCAACATTTGTGTTTGCTGCTGCTGCTGCATTAAAGCCAACATTTGCTGTTGTAAAAAACCAAATTCTTGCTGGTGCTGTTGTTGTTGTTTTTGTTGCATTTGTAATTGCTGTTGTAGATGTTGCTCAGATAGCTTCATTTGCATGCTGAACTGTTGCTGACTCTGTTGCATTACCTGCAAAAGTTCCAAATGTTGGTTCATTTGCATCTCCACATGCTCCCGTTTTTCTGCCTGCTTTAACTCTCTCTCTTCTTTTTCCAATTCCACCCTCTGCTGCAACCACTCCATCATGTCTCCAGATCTTCTTCTCCTCTGAGGTGGACCACTCTCACTTGTCATTCCAACCCTTTTCTTTGTTTCCCCCAACCTCTCCATTGCTCGTTCCCTCATCTCCAATGCCTGCTCTCGTTCATTCTCGATCCTCTGACTTCTTGCTGCACACTCTGTTTCCATCTGCCGATCGGTCTCGTCCTCAATATTGATTAGTTCTTCCATCAGTTTTTCATACTCCGTCATTTCTTCACCACCTTCCCCTGTAGCTCGCTCTTCTTTAGCCATTTGGGCGCGATATTTCTTTGCCGCCAAACTGTAGCGCTCTCTGACCCCCCTCAAAGTGACTGCCTGACCCAAAGTACTGACATTATCAGCTACACTTTGCCACCCCAGACCACGTTCTCTTGACCTTTGCTTATGTGTCAGAACACCTAGAGCTGCCACTTCCTTCAAAAGTATTAGGTCTTTGTCTTTTGACCACACCATGCTGGACCTAAAAAATATTTTACACTTTCAACTGAAATTTTCATTTATTACTTAAGCAGTAGTGAGCAAACTATGGGCGATATTGCTGAATAAATAACCAACACTTGGGGCACAGTGGGAGCTAAGTGCATTGGCATATTAAGCTGTATGTATATTGAATAAAATTTATTAAATTGTGCAGAGCTTTGATGTGTGTACAATACCTCTTGTTTGGGCAATCCTTCTTGTCTTCCATAGAGCAAATGGCACTTACTCAAAATAATGCTGAAAAAAAGACAAACGAAATTAGGAAATGTTGTGTCAAGAGTGAACAAATTATACTCTGCCTGTATGAATATACGTGAAAACGTAAACAATCTTTTTGAAAATCATGTTAAATGTTGAACAAAACCATGAAACGTCAACTGTTTTAAAACCACAAAGTCCACAATTCACAAACGATGAACATTATTAGTTATTGATGATTGTAAATGCGTGTATCTTTAAAACCATTCTGATGGATCTATAGTCCTGGGTAAAAAGTGTTTATCTCGATTCTCGATCTACTAAAAACACTGTGAATAAAATTACGCAAAATGTGCATAATTTTGTATGCTAATTAGTACATAATATTCAAAATAATGATAAAATAGTTGCTACCGCAAATTATTTTAAAATCATTTGTGTACGTACCTTTTTGATGCAAAAAAACCCCCAAAAAACCCGACGTCCTAAACACAACGTGAAAATTTGATTTTGGCGTCCTGAAACCTGACGAGACGACGTCGTCAACAAAACAACGCCAAATTTTCGCGCCATATTACGCGATCTTACGTACTCTTGACGTTCCCGTCCTCAATCTAAATCTGTTTAATGACTACGAGAACGACTACGAGTACGAGATTCGTCATTCTCGCGCGTTGTTTGCTTACGCCATCAGCCAAAACTCGTAGTCGTTGGGCGTTTGAGTACGAAGTTTATCAAAAAACTCGTACTCAAAAGCTCGACGACTACGAGTTTTGACTGATGGTGTAAGCAAACAACGCGCGAGATCTAGAATGACGAATCTCGTACTCGTAGTCGTACTCGTAGCCATTGCTAAAGCTCCCTTATATCCCTGGGCGTCCTCGGCCTACGGCCCCAGGCCATTTTTCGAAACCTCAGGCGCAGTTTCTTTGCATCCGGACCTCGCAGCCGGTAGATATCATATTTTATTATTTATTGAAAATGAGTCAAGAGTTTTGATAGGCCAGCAGCTGTTGGCAAAATCGTCATATCCGCTCGCCAGCTGCCCAAATTTGGACAGTGACGTCACTTCGTCGGATATGAAAAAAATTATTGCACGTTTGACGTCACTTCGTCAGATATGAAAAAAATTATTGCACAGTATGACGTCACGCTAATTTATGCGGCTTGTGCCAAAACCTAAAAGCGGGAAAATACGAATGATAATTTATTTGTGTGAAAATTTCGAAGCGCAATTTCAAACGCTTATTTATGTGAATTGAAATAAATTTGTTTGATTTGATGTGTTTATGTTCAGTTGCGACCTTGAAATCTGACAACAGTATTAAGAATTATTCTTTTATCGTCTGATTGGTTTATTCATAATTCGGAACACTGCTATTGTTGTTCAATTTTCAGCAGCTTGCGTCTCCTTGTCTACAACGCAAGCGTTTAGTCTAAGCCCAAAATTTTTGCAAATAAATAATAAAACAATTATTGAATTCGGTTCTCGCAGGATATGAGGAATTATCAAGGCCTCGGTTTGTGTTATCCGCCTCAGCCTTCGGCTTCGGCAGATAACACAAACCTCGGCCTTAATAATTCCTCATATCCTGCTCAACCTCATTCAATAATTGTTTAATATATCTTACCTGAACAGTTACTTTGACCGTCCCCAGTAAAGCCTCTTAAGCATTCACACGAGTAACTTCCAACATTATTAGTACAATTTGCATTATGATCACAAATATTTGGAGTCTCCACGCATTCGTTGATATCTAAATGTATATATGGAATTTTAAAATCGATTGTTTATATAATATGCTTAATTCTATTTCACATTGTTTATGATACAAAAAGGCCTTTCATTTCGAGACTTCCCAATATTCCATCCACGGAAATTGCAGTTCAATACAACGTTACTGCTCTCACGGCCTAATTTTTCGACTGACAAGATTTCCTTATAGGTTACAGTTGTTATATATTATATACTAGAAATACATGCATGCAGCAACCCCTCGCCTCGGTTAAACGAAATTAGTTAAACGTAGAGATGGTAACATGATTGTTAGAAAATTAATGTGGGTTGGGGGTTTTGAAGGGTACATGGTATGTGAGAAATTGAAATTTGAGAAAAGTATGGAAATAATTTTCTGCGCGTGGAAACACTGTTGTCATAGCAACTCGCAACGGCCGTATATTTTTTTAAGAATCAAAGTTTAGCCACAGGTAGCCCGCTATTGGATTTGCTTTTAGTTAAATATTAAAATACAATCTATGCAAAACGACATGAAGTGTCGCCTTCTTTTATTCACTGCTGACATATTATCGCAGGCGCCAATTCATGCAGTGCAGTGTAACCTTTATGTACATATTAATATAAGGTTGGCAACTCTTTGTCGTATTTTCACATTTACGAATTACATACACAAACTTACACATGAAAATACTCGTACTTAAACACAAAAATATACACAAAAAGCTAAATCTATGTGGGAACTGACTCTCCTAAAACATTTCCGAAACATTTGTTTGTCTTTAAAGCCATTGCAAATATGTGAAATTTAGGAAAATACAAACACTTTTTGGTTGAATTTTTTGAAAAGCCGTCGGGATCCCATCACCCTGCCCTACGTCACAGCAAACACGCAATATGATTGGCTGGTTGAGTCCAGTTAAACAAATTTCAAAATTCAAAACTAAGCACCGAGTACTTATGAACCGAGGAAAAAAGATTAAACATGCTATCGGACAAAAGCAAATCGTTGAACAAAAGGACAGAACTGTTTAGTCAATGGCGACATAGATATAGTTTTAAGGTTTGTAATGTTATAGCATGGATAATAAAATCACTGGATAGGAAACTATATATAGTCACGTGGGGTGCTTAGGAACATTTTGATTGGTCGAAACGCGTTTTTGATGTTTTGAAAATAGCTGAAACCTTGTTGAAAAATCTGATGTCACGGATGGCGAATATTTACGTAAGTAGCATTGATTTCCTTATGTTTTTGACTGAGATTTTTTCAAATTTTCACCTTTTTTTGGTTTGTGTCTTTTAACTATCCATGGTTATAGGCACGCAAACACGCACGTAAAACGCTCGCGTAATCAATCAAAAACGCGTCCGCGTAAACCGTTGTAATATCGCCTGAGAATCGTACAAAAACTAGTACGTGAAGTACAGTGTTGCGATGAAATACAATTTTATGATTATATTTTGTTGATTTGTTTGTGTTTTTGCTCTACTATTTACTTGTATTGAGCACTCTGGTTTACTACGCACAAATCTAAGATTATAATTATATATATAATTTATATCACCTTAAATACACAAATTCGATGTATTCATGTTGGTCATATTATCTCTTAAAGCCATGGCAACGCTATAGACCTCTTCGGTAGTTACGTCACAACATTATCGTTTTATATTTAGAACCACTTTAAATGAGATGGATTTCAAGTTTTACTCTCACGAGCCACGTGCAAAGATGCAAAACATCCTTCTTCAACACTTGCATGAAAAAGGTTTTTTATTTTGACCACCGCGAGCCTCGTTCCCCATTATTGCTTACTTCTATACTTATTAGTCAAAATGAAAAATTATTTTCATGCACGGGTTGTAGAAGGATGTTTTGCATCTTTGCACATAGCTTGTGAGAGTAAAACTTGAAATCCATCTCATTTAAGGGTGTACAGTAATCATGTTTGTTACAGCTATAGTTGGTTATCCGAAATATAGAAAATTGAATGTCAGCACCATAACGCGTTGCCGAAATATGTAGGGTGAAATATCTTTTTAAAATAGTAATATTATTTTTACCTGAGCAGTTCCGTTGACCATCTTCTTTATACCCTGGAATGCATTTACAGGAAAAACTTCCAGCAGTATTGGAACATTGAGAATTAGGATGACAAATATTCGGTGTTTCGAATTCTTTGCACTCATTTACATCTATGAATGAAAACAGCTCTATTACATGCATGAATGCCTTTTTTTTAATTTTCATTCTTCGGAAATTATTCTCTATATAATATAAAATTATTTCTAGTGCACAAAAAAAATTATTGCATGCTAGGACAGCTAGGTATTGGTAATACCGGGAAATATTAGGTCAAGGTAAGTGCGTGCATGATATCAGGGAGTCGCATATATATAAGAGTTGCCGAGGCCTCGTTAATTTCTCATATCAAAAACACATAGATTTAATATAAATTGCGAAACCGCATTGAAAAATAATAAAACTTACCAAAAATTTTTATATTACCTGTGCAATTTTTATTCCCATCTCCAGTGAACCCATGCCTACATTGACATGCGAATGAACCATTCTTGTTCACACAATTTGCGTCTTGGTGACATATTTCTGGATTTTTAACACATGGATCGATTTCTGAAAATGGCAGTGAATTGTAGCAAAAAAGCGTCTTCTTATTCTATCATTGCATGCATAGCCATATATTATTATTATTATTATATTTAACCAGGATACCTACATCACCTTATAGTGTTTTTCAGTTTTTCATACATACAATGTATACAGTCGTTATCATTAATTTTGTCCGTGTCAATATACATACAAATATATAAACATGGGTTATTTCGTTCATTTTTCTCTTGTTCTTTATTATTATCAATATTGTTCCCCTAACTGTGGCATTTTAAGAAGTTTTCGAGACAGAGCCACAGAGGTCGAACGATTTCCCATAAATTTAACATATGCACAATCACGTGATCGATATTTACCTATTTATATATACTTCCAAGTGACAGCCTTAATGCTAACGACTCTTTTTGTGGACCAAAGATGGCAAAGAGAGGCTAACAATGATGGAATGTTCTGAGAAATTGCGAGAAATTGAGATGAAGTTGTATGTGTCGAACGAAAAGTTTGAAACGTTTTGTGAATCAGGTTCGTATTCTAATATGTCAAATCTCCCGTAGCGGGATCCCGCCTAGGCGGGATGGAAGAGTTATCATATAAACACTCATTAGTGTTTGTATTACAAGCGGGATCTCGGAAACGGTCCCGTCCCGGCTAGGCGAGATATATACAGGCCCTAATGCAAATTCCCATCATTCTTTCCGCGCCCTTAGAGTTTAATGTTTGAGGTTTTTCAAGCTAGGGCAACCTTTAGAAGTATTAGAATAAAAAGGCATATAGAAGGACAGCATTAGAACAGTCTAAATAAAAAAGAATAATGATAATTTTTAAAAATTTTCGCATACCTCCGTTCACTTTCGTGCAGAATTCTCCACTTCCTGTATATCCACTGGGACAGGGTCCACATTTGAAGGCGGCTATCATATCTGTGCACGATACACCAAGAAAACAAGGATTCGACGCACATTCATTCAGCTTAGTTTAAAAATGGGAAAAGTTAGTTTATATTACTTTAATGCGAGTTGATAAAACCCCTACATTAATGTACAATTTTTTATTCCGCCCGCTGTGAAAAAAGAGAAAAACAACATAACGGGTTGAAGGTGTGAAAACCTAAAAATTATTTAGGCAAATAGAATGTAGAAAAATCGAAAAACTAAATATTTCCGATTTTCCCATCTTCAATATGTGGTTTCACAGAATTTATACTTTTTAAAGTTTATTCAGTAAATTTGTTGTATTTTTTTGACTGTTGTTCCTAATAAAGTCAATAAACTGAAGTTTAAAAAATAGAGACCAAATTTACCGCCATCTTTGGTACGGTTGCAAAAAGGAATTCATGAGTCCTCGAGGCCGTCTGAGGACGTTGGGTACAGTTTATCGCATCCGCGGACCTCACAGCCAGTAAATGCCATAATTTATTATTTTACAAATCAGCAGCGGGCGGAATCCTAGCCTTTCCTGCAATCTAATTGGCTGTAGCAGCGGGCAGAGTTTTTCGATATCTCACCACAGTCCGGAATCCTATATTTCATACTCGAGCGAAAGTGTTTTGTTTTGTTTTTCTCAGTAAAGATTTATTGGAAAATTTTGACCCTTTTACTTTGAAATATGTGGATAAATTGAAGTGAATTTTAGTAAATTAAACAAAATAGCTGTTTATAACTAGGTTTTGATTGTTTATGTTTTTGTCGCCATTGCTCAGTCTGACTACAAAATGATAATAGCTACGACCGAACGCCAATTTTTGTAGAAAAATAGATACGTTATTTACCGTTTTCGATTTTACCGTTTGGTTATTTACCGGTTATATTTTCCCTCGGTGTTTTCAACGGGCAAAACCACGCTCAACACCGTAGAGATTTTCGTAATATTTGTATTATTGCTTAGATTACATGGAATATATGGTGAATAAAGAACTTAACACATTACAAATAAAGATGATAATACCTGAAGAGTTGGTCTCTACGGCTTGAAACAGCACTTCATTTCATGCATAAGCAATGCTCAATGCAAAACTGAATCTATTTGTTCTTATCCTAATATTTTATAACTGTCCCGAATCAAATTACTAATTAACACCTTTCCTATTGCGAGCAAATCAAGTTGAATCAAAATATCATGAAGATAAATTAAATATGACATAACAAATATAATTAATAAAGATGTAAAGTTCTGTCCGAAAGTGGACTGTCCGAAACACTCGGGGAAATATATTTCTATCCTGACCTTTTAGCCGGTAAATAACATACCTCATTTTGGCAAAGATCACCAGTATATCCGGCAAAACAGGAGCAGGAAAATCCAGGCTGCTCGTTGATACATCTTCCATTAGAACAAGGTTGAGACACAACGCATTCATTGACATCGATCTCGCACAGATTGCCCGTGTATTCAGCAGGACATGAACACCTGAACTTTCCAGCTCCATCAAGAAAACGATAGTCAGGTTTACATTCTCCTGAATTTTTACAAGGACATTCTTTTATAATGACCGAAACATTGAGGATAGAGTACGCGCCACATTCGTCTGTCACATTGAATCTGAATACTGTGGAGTCCTTTGTGTCCTTAGACCAAGAAAATAATCCATTTTTAGTCAAAGATGCTTGAAACGTTTCTTTGCTTACAAAGCTGAATGACACTGTTCGATTTTCTGGATCTTTCGCGTTTAATTGAACACGGAGTTCCTTTCCTCTAAATTTGTAAAATGTTCGCAACGTTGTGAAGATTGGCCGACCGTTGTCTATAATTCAGAAATAAAAATATTGATTAATTACGCTCATTTCCAGATCCGATAACGTGCTATAATCTACGATTTACATGCACGCCACACATAGAAAGTTATTATTTCTCTGGCGAATCGAAATTTAGACGTAATTGATATTGTACTATTGAAATACGTTTCGTAAGCTACAGTAGTTTATAATAATCAATTATCTAACTTCCAATCATTGCGCAGTATTTTGGTCATATGCATGTATATATACATCTGTAATTCTCCATAAAGGTATTATATAATTACTAATTCACATAATCAAATATTAACTTATACAACTTATCTTAATTAGTATTCAAAACTTTGTTACACGCATCCCCTAATATGCATAAAGCTTATTCATTCCACAAGCTCGTAAAAATACGAGCGGCCGATGGAATTTACAAACCTGGGATTTACAAACGAAAATCTGTTCCTTTCCCTTCCAATAGTCCGGCGTCTCTTACCTTCGCGTTTCTTCCACGAATTTTGTGACAACTCCGGAATGCATTGTTGGCACCAGTCACTTGGATTACTGTCGTTTTTAGCAAAACAATGACCAGATATCAAACAGGCGTCCGTCTAGATGAAAAAATAAATACGATGGAAATTTTCTCCAAGTCAGATGTATTTTTCCTAACATAATAGTACTTTTCTATGTAAAATGTAAAACCAATTTACTGTTAAATAAATAGTTTATCATGGCAACCATTATTTTTTCAAAAACAATTAAACATGGTGAGGCATTTCAAAAACATTCATAATATACGGGTCATTTTACTATTTATACTGCATTCCGACTATTATATGTTATTTCTTATTCATTAAAAAGGTTGATTGCACGGAAATATTAATTAGAATTTTGCGCGCGACTGCTTCCGGATTGCTTCCAGATCGGGTCAAATTTATTATAATAAATTTGAAAGATAATGAGCGGTGCATAGAATAAAACGGACTCGACGTAGGAATTTTGATAACTTATCAACAGGATATATACAGGTTCATATAATATTGCGTCGGTTCGAACTAAAATATGATAAGCAGACAAACTATAGTAACCTACCACATAAAATTAATACGAGTATAATTGACATAAATGAGTTATATACTGATTACAACAGATTCTTAATCATGCATGGAATAAAACGCAAACTATTAGTCCTTTTGTCAGTGAAACATTTAGCGCAACAATTGCTAACTGAAACAACGTATTATCTATGTACTCACTTTGGTTTGCAGACGCACCAACTTTAACTATCATACGCGTATATATATAGCTTTGATCGAGGACTGGAGGTAGAATAAAGATATAATTTTTTTTTCTAATAATGTGAATAGAACTGAGTACTTTGCTTTCTTACAAGCGTCCACATTCGAAACTCAACGTAGAATGAATAACCTAAGCAAGGTAGGCTGTGTGTCAGGTAGAATGAACGGGTTTTCGAAAACATAGCAACCGTGATGTGTTTTTGTGACGGACATAGCGTGGCTAGGCCAGGCAACTGCATCGCGCATTTGCTAACCAAATTTACGCAGTTGACGTAAATCTTCGCGCTGAAACGGAAAATAACAACTTGTTTCTGCCAGAAGGTCTTTTACAATAACAACTTGAACGATCTTCCGTTTCGAAACCAACACTAACTGCTTAACCTCTGTCGTATTATTGGGCGGGTTTAAAATACAGCCACGATGAAAAAATTATTTGTGCACATGTTTTGAAAAAGTCAACCAAGATGGCGGCAATTGCAAACCACCAATAATGAAAACGGGGACTTCGTTTTCTCAATCGTTTGCCGATCTACTCGAAATGTTTTTTCAACAATGAAAACATATTAATTATCTACTAAATTAAATATTTACCCACCCTGAGTTTACATCCAGTGGTTGTATTGCATTCCTGGCATACAGAGTCGTACGTGATAAATGAAACAGATTGTTCAGAGACGTTTATACGATTATTGGAAACCCCAATTTTCAATCCAGCTGCAGTGACACCTTCGTTGCCATAGTCTCCCACATTTACAGGGGACTCGGGAAGGAAGCATTTAACTTCAGTTAGATCTACCAGAAGACCCGGATAAAGTGAAATGGACTCATCAGGGGTCCACATTGACGTAATAACCTGTGAAAAAAAGTCGATAAATGACGTTTCAACAAGCGATTGCGCAAAAAAATCTGGTAGTGTACCTATAATATACAGTCATGCCATATTCACATGCACATGCATGATTGTCGCGTTTCGGAATAAAAATTGGTACTTGGCTGTTAGAAGCGTTTTTGTCATTCAAACCAACCTTATACTCCTGTATATGACAAGTAAGGTTTTCAGAGTCAAGTAATGGAAAGGCGAAAATCCCCGCATTACGACATGGCCGTCGTCTTCTATCACATAATCCGGATTTTCGAATATCATAAACAAGTGGACTTGCGTTTAGCGATATCGAACAATCGGCAGAGGTGTAGTCCTCGTGGCAAATGCACGTAGAGTTTGCGCAAATTCCATTATCGGAGCAATCGTTAGGGCAGAGTGACATTAGGACATCGGTGTTAAGTTCTATACTTCCATCTGTCGTGTTTTTATACGATGAGATATTATTAAGAACGCTCGCAATACAAGACGTCTCCAACGCTGCAAAGTTAGCTGTTGCCCAGGAAAAGTCCTCAGTTGCCTATATTAGTGTATAAAAAGATGTAATACAGGTATATGAAAGCTATCTGATCAATATTAGACGGGAATTTCGGAGTGTGTGGCATAAAATGTCTTCCCATCAGCTTTTCATGTATTGTGGACCATCTCAAAAAACCCATACAAAAAGCTTTAATTTATTTTAAATACATGTATAAAACGGCGAACTCAATGAAGCTAATAATATATAATTTTTGGCTTCACGTAGGCTGACGTTAGTGGAGCAATAAACTTTAAAAAAGTTTTTAGGCAATGTATATTTTAGCTATATGTGTGGTCATTTGGGGGGAAATTTCTACAATCCTACATTGCTTGAAAACATTTTTTGCTAAGCAATATTGGAACTGGTATATTTTATTTTTTTAAAAATCGGTGGTTGAGTGTCGATCTGCATGGGGGACCTGCTCTAAAAAGTGTTCTTCAATCTCTCTGACTTGATTTTGCTCTTTAACATAACTGGGGGACGCCAAAGGCTTTCACGGGGGGTTAATTGGAAGAGTGTCTAGGAGCAATTCGCCCAAAAATTGCCTCTTAATTGCCCAAAAAATTTTATACCTGGATATCACTTATACACTGCGTTACTATATTATCGACATCCACATCAGGTAACTGACTGCACGCTTCGCCGGCTTCAGAATAACGAATTTTCTTTCTGCAGAACTGCGTAACATTTTCTTTAGTAATTCCCGAAGGTGTCGGCCATGTTAATGTAACATTAACACTCTTAACCGCTGGGTTAAACGGTGGAATTAGATCCTGATCATCAACTGTATCGTCATCTGGTATCAAACCACGTTTGGCACGAGGACTTTTGCACTCACCTGTGAAAGACGTATGCAGTTAAATGCAAAAATGCAGTTACTTAAGTTTTATAAATCATGCATATGAACAGTTTTTTTACTATTTAATTTTGTTACTGAAAATATATTCAGTAACAAATTCAGTAACAAATGTAACAAATGTTATATATTATAACGAAACAGTTGTATAGCAAGTGTATTCATGCTTCGAATAGCTAGTTCTGTTTTGTCTATAATCTTTTATTCACACTCAGAGAAAAAACATTTTTCACGTAATTGTTTCCAATCACTTTTGTTCAGAGAAATGAAATATATTTAATTTAGGTTGAAATTATAATGAAAGAAATATTTCATACCATATACAGAAAGAAATATTTCTTTGGTCTATACTTTTAATTCTTTATTCGTCATTAATTAATCCCCGAGCCGGTGCGGAGCACCGTGCGAGGGTACTAATTCCGCTCGGATATTTACACCCACGATGTGCAAATGCGAAATCAAAGTTGTCCGCCATTATGCAATGGACCTCACGCCATGGACGGTCTTCTACGTTACGCGCATGGGCCAGTGTGAACTACTAAGTTCTTGATTGGTCGAGACAAAAATTTGTATTTTCAAACGTCAATGAATAACTGTCATTTAGCAAAATTTTGACAAATTTATAAATTTATATTTTCATAAATATGGAATATATGTATTTTTACTAAATTAGAAGGAAACTCGAATGAGGTCAGGACTTTTCACGGTTTAACAAATAACAAGACCAAATTTTCGACCGAATTCACCTTGTATAATGAAGTCGGGAGATTTTACACTTGATAATACTTCATCCGACACAGCATTAAAAAGTAATTCTTTTGTGGCAAACACAACTTTAATATTCTCAAATGTATTTCATTATAAATCTGAATGTGTTATGTGATAAACGACATTATAATTTCATTTATAAACTCCGTTTTCATAATGACAAAAGGAAAAGAAAATCAAAACATTCCCGTGCAAAAACCAGTCGAAGCGTAACATAAAACTTCGGAAGTTGTATGAGACGTCTGATGTTATATTTCATGGTATTTAATAATTAAAACTAGAAATACATGCATGCAGCAACCCCTCGCCTCGGTTGAACGAAATCAGTTAAGCATAGGGATGGTAACATGATTGTTAGAAAATTTATGTGGGTTGGGGGTTTTGGAGGGTACATGGTATAGAGAGAAAAAGAAAGAAAAGTATGGAAATATTTTTCTGTACGTGGAAACACTGTAGTCATAGCAACTTGCGTTGCGACGGCCGTATATTTTTAAAGAATCAAAGTTTACCCTCATATTTTTGTGAAAAAATGGCAAAAATACGACAAGATTCGTACCTTTTTCGGGAAGTTAAGTCACTCATCTATAGTCAGTGTTATGGTAAATTGTTTTAATTATTAATTACCATGAAATATAACATCAGACGTCTCATACAACTTCCGAAGTTTTATGCTACGCTTCGACCGGTTTTTGTCATTATGAAAACGGAGTTTATAAATGAAGTTATAATGTCGTTTATCACATAACACATTCAGATTTATAGTGAAATACATTTGAGAATATTAAAGTTGTGCTTACCACAAGAGAATTACTTTTTAAAGCTGTGCCGGATGAAATATTATCAAGTGTAAAATTTGGTCTTGTTACTTGTTAAACCGTGAAAAGTCCTGACCACATTCGAGTTTTCCCCTAATTTAATTAAAAATACATCTATTCCATATTTTATGAAAACTTAAATTTAAAAATTTCATCAAAATTTTGCGAAATGACAGTTATTCACTGACGTTTGAAAATACAAATTTTTGTCTCGACTAATCAAGAGCTTAGTAGTTCACACTGGCGCATGCGCATAACGTAGAAGACCGTCCATGGCGTGAGGTCCATTGCATAATGGCGGACGACTTTGATTTCGCATTTGCACATCGTGGGTGTAAATATCCGAGCGGAATTAGTACCCTCGCACGGTGCTCCGCACCGGCTCGGGGATAATTTACCATGACACTGACTATAGATGAGTAACTTAACTTCCAGAAAAAGGTAAGAATCCTGTCGTATTTTTGCCATTTTTTCACAAAAATATGAGGGCAAACTTTGATTCTTTAAAAATATACGGCCGTTGTAGCGACTAGCGAGTTGCCATGACAACAGTGTTTCCACGTGCAGAAAAATATTTCCATACTTTTCTCAATTTCTATTTCTCTTTTTTCTCACATAAATTTTCTAACAATTATGTTACCATCCCTACGTATACGCTTAACTAATTTCGCTTAACCGAGGCGAGGGGTTGCTGCATGCATGTATTTCTAGTAAATTTTATACTCTTATAATTCGTTAATGAAAGGAGTATGTTAAATAATCCAAAATTCACATCCTTAAATAAAGTTTCAACTGCATTACAGATGTTTGGTGAAAATGTTTATACTCGTTCTCTCGTTATGACAATAGGATTAAGCGATAAATACACAATGTATATAGAATACCAATGCATACCAATTCCAGAGCCTTTGTGATCTTTCCTAGAGTTAGACTCAGAACGCAGCGTTGGAAAACAAACTCTTTCAGCATCATTGCCACAACGTGATCTTATACTACCACGTGAACATACACAGATCTGTTGATCACATCCATCGTCGATATGTGCTTCTCCGTATGCGTTGCCCTTGTAGTCAAACAGCGTCAAACGGGTACGAATTCTTTATTATGAAAATAAGGCGTAAATAATTAAGAAATAATTAAGAGTAACATTAGTAGGGATTTCGAGTATATAGACCTGACAGATATACTTGAAAAAAAATTAAAAAATAAGTATTGCCGAGAGGCTGTTTAAGCTTAGTCACGAACTATATTTATCTAAAGATGCACTATAGTTTCACTATAACTTCAAAAAACAATTCGACTTGTATAACTTTTGTTCATTAAAATTAATATAGTGTATAAAGAAAGAAAGTTCAGGAGAGTTTTATAGGCAACAAAAAGGGATAAAGTCAAAAACCTGAAATGTTCACTTAATTCCATTTAAGGTCGTTTAAAGGTTTACTATAGTCACACCGTGGTCGTGAGTATGAGTATTTTGTAACGTGAAAATTCTCTTGTAAATTCCTGTTGGTTCCACTACATAATTGGTTTCATATTGTCTATCTAATTATTCTAATATGCTTTATCGACTCAATTAACTTGTCTTCAATTAATGTAAATATAGAAGAGTTATTCTTCTTTATTTGTTTTGTGAAACAACTTACAAACTATTTTTACATGTTATTTCCAGTGGGTCAGATGTGAGAGGGGGATTATTGCATAGAGAAACGGCCGAAGTACCAAGTAGCTGTGTTTAATTTGACTCAAGCCTAACTAACCCTATGCATAATCAACGAGCAGTCTGTAGATATAATCTCGAATTCCAATAGCATGAAATATAAATTGCTTGTCGTTTAATATGGTTAATTAATCACACTATTGTCTATATGACAGAGGACTACCTTTTATAATGTCATATTTGATGTTGCCTTATAAAATACCTCCAATGCTCTCCAAATTCGTTCGGGGTATTCCACTTGCCAAACTCGTCGTCCGGGTTCCCATTGTTATTACCACAAAGTCCATCACATGGATGTTCGGGGTCCACCGGAGCAGTGACCATAATATTTAACCCACGCAAACCACGATTGACAGCTACTCGGACACCTGATGGCAATGTTACCTTAATGATAAAACAAATATACTTCAAAAGAAGCATTCAATTATTTGACTAGGTCATACTAAAATGGAGTGCTCAACCGTGCCTTAACGGAACATGAAAATTACGCTTCAATAGATATATCAGTTTCAAATGTCTCGAGACGAGTGGACTCCAAATCATTTCTCCAAATTTTTTTCTCCGAACGAGTCGAAATTGGTGCAGTTTATCGTTGGGTATCATGTGATTTTCCCAAACTTTTTATACAATAAAATCAGTGGCGGATTTAGGAAAGTCCAGAATAAATTACACAGCTTAATTTTAAATTCAAGACACCTTAATAACAACGCTATTGCATGTGAAAAAAATACAGCTGGGGATCAAGAACTGGCATTCATCGTGCAGAAAGGCAACGAGACATAGCAATGGCGACATAAATGATGAAATGTCAAGGGACACAAAAATAAAAAAATATTACATGGCACTACTTCAAAACCCATCGAAAATTGGTTGAGTAATTTTTTAGTCCACTAGAATCGTGCAAAAGTACAGTATTTGGATAGTGCTTGCGACGGACGGCGAAAAACGGCGATCAAATTTGCAAAATATGGCTGAAATCGTGGGGGGTAAGTGAAATGAAATATGTCGTATCGCAACAAAACATTGTTATTTCGTAAGAAATTTATAATAAATATATTAAAATAAGCATGTTTTTTCATCATATGGCAAGAATTTTTAGAAAATAGGAAAAATTAGACTTTGCCAGGTGAATCTGTAATTTTATGCATAATTAGCAGTTAATTTGGAATAGTAAACATTCATTTTCTTGTAAAATATGAAAGGCTAATTTCACCCTGCAGTGACCACCCCTAAAAGCAACCATTCTGAACCATATAAACCATTCAGAAAGACTGTAGCTTTGATAATTCAGGATTTAGAGCTATGTCGACTATGCCGTTTCTGGGTGTGGTCAGTTTCACGACTTTCGTCCCGGATTCACATTTTGGCACATATGCCATGTTTACCCTAAAACAGTTGAGATCACCTGTCCTAAATGAAATGCATACAAACTCCTTTACAGGTCCTAGACTATAGACTTTTCAGCTGATGTATTGATATATTTATCTTCGCTTCAATGCAATTCATGATAAATAAATACAACACTACCAGTTGAAACATCGTATAATCGAAATATTTGTTTCGAATGCCATGGTATCAGGTATTTTAGCTGTTCCATGATCATTGTGTTTCAAACTTCAAAATCTCGATTCTCTTAATTGGCAGTGGTAAGACAATTATTTTTCATTTATTTTATTTTGAATATTATTTATTTATTTCACTTTGGGTATCATACAAAAAGGCCTTTCATTTCGAGACTTCCCAATATTCCATATATATATATAAGACCTTCGTCAGAGAAGTGTGTGATACAGTGTATCGAAAGATCACACACACTGAAAAGTATCTGTCTTTTGATTCCCATAACCCAAGGCAGAACAAAGCAGCTGTTGTAAAAACTTTGATGGACAGGGCTGATACTATACCATCAAATGAAGAGCACAAGCAAGCTGAAAAGACGAAGATCATAAATGCCCTTAAGATGAATGGATATACATCACCATCTTGGATGTTTACTTTCGCATATTACGCATGCGCTGTTAAGACAATCCATAAGCAGATAGCTTTCAGTTTGCCGCACACGGAAAGATTTCGGCACGCGAGGCAGAAATTATGAAACATGCTAGATATTTGCCGTAAGTGGCACGAATGACCAAAGTCACCGGAAAAGTCGCCCGCACACGAGAGCAATTGGCTTACGCCAATGGCCACGAATGACTTTTTGCTAAGCACATAGCTCTAGTGTGCGCCGGCCTTTATCAACCTTACAATTTTCAAATGCGCATTACAAAAGTTAAGAAATTTACAAATAAAAATATATTAAACTAAGAAACGTTCCGAGCTAATCAAAAGCTTGGCGAAATAGAAACGTCTTGACTAATTGTTTAGAATTATTTACAGAAGTACAATTTCTAATAGAGTACGGTAGACTGTTCCACAACGCTGGAGCAGCCATACAAAATGCTCTATCTCCTAAACTCTTAAATAACTTGAGGGACGGAGTGCTAAGTAGCAAAGTATTGTTAGAACGAAGACTGTATCTATTAGATTTTTTAAGACTAATAAGGTTACTTATATACTGTGGGGCCATTCCATGAATGGCTTTGAACGTAAGTAAAAGTACTTTAAAGTCAATACGGTATTTGACGGGTAGCCAATGTAAGTTTTTTAACAGAGGTGTAATACGACAATACTTCGATTCTTGAAATATTAGACGTGCAGTCGCATTTTGCACTCTTTGTAACTTAACCAGCTGACAATTGGGTAGTCCATACAACAAACTGTTGCAATAGTCCAAACGACTTGATATAAATGCATGTATTAGTATCTCAGTCAATTGTCTGGTAAGACATTTTCTTATACGCCATATATTATATAAGAAATAAAACCCAAAAGAACTAGTTCTTAAAATGTGCGTGCTCATAGAAAGGTTAGAATCCATCCATACACCAAGATTTTTACCAACAGGTTGAGGAGCAACATCAGTGGTTCCAACTGTAATGTGATCAATGTTAACATTGGCGAGTTGTTGTTTAGTTCCGATCAAAAGGAACTCCGTGCTATCATCATTCAAAAGCAACTTGTCTTCACTCATCCATTTTCTTAAATCTTCAATGCAGCGTTCCATGGCTATGACAGCATCTGATTGCTCAGATTCGACTTTAGGTCTAAATGCAACATACAACTGCGAATTATCGGCATGCATAGCAATGAGCGTCTGGTAAGTGCCTCTGAATGACCTCAAACAGTTTACTCACATAAATTGTAAACAATAGAGGTCCCAAGCAAGATCCCTGAGGAACGCCATGAGGCATATCAAACCTATCAGAGACAGTACCACGAACAGTGACACGCTGAGATCTCCCCCATAGGTACGACTGGAACCAACTAATTGCTGTACCGGAACCCTAGTTTAGATGACAAACGCTCTAACATAATACCGTGATCTACTGTATCGAAGGCCGCACTCATGTCTAAAAGAACAAGAAGTGAAACATGTTCTTTGTTCATATTCATCAGTAAGTCATTTTTCACTTTCAACAGCGCAGTTTCAGTACTATGGTTTTTCCTATATGCCGACTGTCGTGGCGGATACAAATCATGATCCACCATATGAACATGCATCTGTTCAAACACAGCTCTTTCAGCAAGTTTAGACACAAATTGTAAATTGGATATCGGTCTAAGATTCTGGAAGATCGTTTCCAAACCAAGTTTTTTCAGGAGTGGATGACCAAGTGCCTCTTTCCATAACTGTGCCCTGACCAGTTTGAAGAGACAGGTTGATAATTTGTGTTATGATGGGAAGCAATGCATAACACTGAGAAACTAATTTAGATGGCAATGGATCTAAATCACAGGTTTTCAATGCAGCACAACCAATTTAAGTTTTCACATCAACTTCAGAAAGGGCACTAAACTCTGAAAACATTGGCACGGACTCTCCAACGGCGTGTGTAACAGAAGCGTTCTGCAAATCTCTAGATGAGCCATACATCTCGTTATTATCTAGTTTTTTCCGTATGTTTCCAATCTTTTGTACAAAATACTTTCCGTTGTCACTAACAAAAGCTTCACAGTTTAAATTAGGAGGAAGACCATCATCATGATGTTGACCGAACAGGCGTTTACTTGCATGAAAGAATTTTCTCTGATCACCACTATTCTCCTCGATGAAACTCGTATAATATTCTGAACGGGCTCTACGCATGAGTCTATTAACTAAGTTTCGTTTGCCTTTGAAGTTAACAAAGTCTGCATCTGACTTAGACACTTTCCATTTCTTCTCTGCATTTCGTACCCCATGCACGCTTTGCTTTCCTAAGCTGTTCATTAAACCAAGGCACCCGTGGTCTAACTATTATCGTTCTTGTTTTAGGTGGTGATTGTTTATCAAAAAGTGCCTTCAGAGTGTTATTATAACAGGCAACCAATTCATCTAGATCGTTTGGAGGGTTCGTGCATAGATCCGACATAGCGATATCATGGTTCAGAGAAGACACATCCACTGATTTCCATTTCACAAAATTGAAGCATTGTCAGAGAGGTAACGGTCAGTATAAGGTGGAGTTCTTATAATTCTGTCTGCTTGGCAGGTTATAAACAGATCGAGGGTATGTCCATGGAAGTGGGTTGGACATGACACATGCTGTTTGAGACTGAACGACTCCAGTAAGTCTTGAAAAATAATCGCGTCAGAATCATCCATAGCATTAATGTGAATATTGAAATCGCCGACGATTAGAAGCTTTTCATCCGTCATAACAATTGACTCGAGAAAGTCTGAAAATTCGTTAAAGAAAACTTGCGTAGAGACCTTATGTTTTTCAGAATACGGGGGGCGATAAACAATAACAACACGAAGTTTCTGTTTTGACTGAAGTTGCACACACCAGTCCGAATACTCAAATGACTCCATTTCATCCGCATTATTTTTTACAACTTTAAGACAATCTCTGTACAAAAGTGCGGTGCCACCCCCACGACGACTTCTGCGAGGCTGGTCTACAAGCTTATATCTGCTAGGACACAGCTCCGCCCGAACAACAGCAACTACCGAGGTGAGCCATGTTTCAGTGATAGCAAATATGTCAGCTTTAGAATCACAGACATAGTCAAAAATATCCACTGACTTATTTCAGATCTTGCATTCAATAGACAAAAAGACAATTGATGATTAACGTTACAAAACACAGGCAAACAATTGATCTTAATTAAATTGTTTGGGTTCCGTTCAACAATAGGCCGTGACGAACTGCTTTCTCGCACAAATACAATTGGTTTTATAGGGCATTGTTGTTTGGAATCAGGTCCTGGATTAAGTTTGAACACTAAATCACCAATTAGCAATAGGTGGAACGACGCTGTGGAATTTGCATAGTAAGCACATGGTCTCTGTAACGTGTTTGTTTATTACGGTACATTGTAAACTCAACGAGAAATCGTGAAAATGTAGTTACATGCTTACAATCTATATACTATGATATGTCTGCTTTTGTAATTGTCTCGCACACGCCGTCTGCTACGCCTGTCCATCAAAATTGCGTCGTGACGTCACCTCATAATATCGTGACATCTTTCCCTTTTCTTTTTGACAAAAAAAAACAAAATATAAACTACGGAATAGACATGTATACAATCTTACTAAGGTACTTCAAGTTAGAATTGTTCAATGCTCTCAGTTCATTCCATTACATATTCCTTGTGCCACACAGGTATGCATCTTATGCGCTCTGAGCGTCGTGGTGGTTTTTCGCTGTTCTCAGCCGAGGATGCACTGTCTAATGATGGTGTGTGTTCGGGGTTAGCTTCATTCTCCACCAAACGGTTCTCTGGTTCCCTTCTGCTCTGCTCAGGTTCAAACTCAGGATCACTCCCAGCAACAGGTGGTGTTGGGGGTCTTTCTTGCGATGCCCGGTAGCGACTTCGGCGGTACTTCCTACCACTCACATCTACTTCGTATGATCTGTTGTCTAAAACCCAGGTACAAGTTCCAAGCGTCCATTTTGTTGCGTTTGGCAATTTCATTCGGATAGCTTGATCTTTCTTCAATGGTTGAAGAGGTTGGTGTGTCTTGTTATAATGGTGAATTTGTCGCGATTTCCGAGCAACTAGTTTATCTCTTGTGCTTTAACTGATTGGCTGTTTAAGAAAATTTTTGTGAGTTGGTAGCAGTGTTCGCGTACGCCGCCCCATCAACCATTGGGCAGGAGATGTTCCCAAACCGTCTGTGGGGTATTCCCCCAATCTAAAATCGCCAGCAATGGGTCTTGACCAGCAGCTTTGGCTTTTGTCAACAGCATTTTGCAGGTCTTGACCGCATTCTCTGCCCGGCTATTTGATTGCGGGTAACGAGGGCTCGACGTTACATGCTTGAACTGCCAATCACTTGCGAATGTTGAAAATTTTGCAGCGGAAAACTGAGGTCCGTTATCGGTTATCACTGTGTCCGGGATTCCATGTCGTGCAAACTGGACTTTGCATGCTACTATAACTTTGTCGGCGGTAATTCTCGTAAGTTCTTGGACCTCGAAGAATCCATTCCAGTGGTCCACGAGAAGGACAAAGTGCTGTTTTCCAAGCTCAAACAGGTCCATACTAACCGTTTCCCAGGGACGAAATGGTAGTTGGTATGGTTTTAATTCTTCACGACATTGTGCAGGTTGATGCACCTGGCACGTTGGGCATTTTGAAACTAAATCTTTAACCTCTGCGTTCATTATAAGGGCCAATACAACACTTCTCGGGCTCTTCGGAGACAGCCTTCTATTCCAATATGAGATTGGTGAATCTGCGTCAGCATTGCTGTCCTCATTGATGTGGGGACTACTAAACGTTCTCCAGCGAAAACTAGTCCATTATCTACTAAAAGTTCACTTCTTTTGTCGTAGAAGGGTGACAAGTCCTGGCTGCACTGTCTCTTGAATAAAGGCCAACCATTCTTTACATTACATTGAGATCTTGAGCAAACTCGTGCATTCGCCTTTGCCAAACTTCGGGTGCACTCGAGATTTCGAAGGGCATGCAAGTCCAACGGTACCGTCCGAAAGGGGAGTTGAAGGTTGTCAGATAACTTGAGGCTGTGTCAAGTTTGATTTGATGAAATCTGTCCTTAGCATCGCAGAGTGTGAATTTCTTGGCACCCGCCAATCTTGATGTGACTTCGTCCACTGTAGGTAGTTGATAATGCTCGCGTCGTATAACACGATTAAGGTCTCGTGGGTCGATGCATATGCGGATCTTATTCGGCTTGACAACTGCCAACGTGCTGGATACCCAACGAGTGGATTCTGTAACAGGGACAATGACTTCTCGATCGACTAGTTCATCTAGTTTGGCTTTGATTTGGGATCTTAATGCGACTGGAACTCGTCGAGGGGCGTAGATAACTGGCTTCGCCGAGTCTTCTATAGTTATCGTGTGCGCTCCTGGTATCTCGCCAAGGCCATCAAAAACGTCGGCATACTTGTCTGCAACATGCGGTTTGTCCTTTGGATGCTTTATTGTCAGTGCCCGAATGACAAATTTACTCAAATTGACAACACCTAGAGCAATGCTTGTATGTAACGATAGTACTGGTTGATAATCTCCGTTGATAATATTAAAATTCAAGGTTCTTTGCTGATCTCCGAACCATACAGGCAGTTTAGCTGTTCCGGTAATCTTACGGTGCTCACCTGTGTATGAAACGATTTCCTTCTTGCAGGGTTTTAGGCGTTGCAATTGATTGTCACCAGTGACTTGTATATATAGGCTTGTCGGGAGAATATCACATTGCGAACCAGTGTCTATTTGAAATTGAACCGAGTTTTCCGCCTCTGGCTTCGAAATTTGCAAATTAATCACAGCTTTGCGTGCTTTAGACTCGTCACCGTCCGAAACAGAGCTGATACAGTAATGATCTTCTTCGGTTTTTTGATCGACTTCCGTAGTTTGGTTGATTTCTGTTCCATTGCTATTTTTTCCTCGACATTTCCCCGCAAAATGATTCATCTTATCACAATTAAAACACTTTCTTCCGAACGGTAGACAATCCCATTCGTCGTGAGTCATACCACAATTTCCACACTCCTTAAGCAATCCTTCCTGATGGCGGTTTCGCATTGGATATCTCGGTGGTTTTGTCTTTCGGGATTGTTTACCGTCTAAACCAGTATCTTTGAGTTCTCGGTGAACAATACTCATCAAATTTTTGAAGGACAATATCGACATCATTTTGATTCTCATCTTCTCCCCATGCAAATGTGTCGTACGCTTTGACACCGTCCTCGCCGATTACGCTTAATAAGGTTGATATACTCTTACAATTCCCTCTTGTTTGTGTACACCGATTGCAATCTCGTACCGTGTCCATGATTTCTTCCACGACTTCCATGCAGTTGCCAAATTATCGTCGAATATGAGCGATTTCGGCGGTGGCAAGTTCGATGGCGCTACATATATTTGTGGCGCCTGAGCCATTTGTGGCGCTTGGGCTTCTCCTTAATTGTGGCTTGACCATTGTTTTATTTCAAATATCCAACTCCTGACACCATGTAACGTGTTTGTTTATTACGATACATTGTAAACTCAACGAGAAATCGTGAAAGTGTAGTTACATGCTTACAATCTATATACTATGATATGTCTGCCTTTGTAATTGTCTCGCACACCCCGTCTGCTACGCCTGTCTATAACGGCGTCGTGACGTCACCTCATAATATCGTGACAGTCTTTTGTGTCTTTTTGTTTGAATAAGGAAAAATGAGACAAAAGGGCGTTGATGAAGTTGACACACCACAAAGACGAGTACGGGATCAGGATAAATGCAAATTTGAGCCCAAAAGCAAACGCAATAAAGCTAAGTGATGTATTCGGCCTCTGATGACAATTCGTTTCCTTTAATGTATAATACTTATCTGTGTCCAAAGTCAACCAATCCCCAGTAAAATCAAACTTGAAATCCAAGGCCAACTGCCGAAGGCTTACAACAAGAGCTTTTTTATAGCAGGACCACTCTTAACGTTCTCTTCAGTTCGAAAAATATGGTATGGACTCGCCAATGTCACCGTAAACAAAATTACAATAAAATATAGCTCCATCCCGAACTCAAAATACTTCTTTCTTTATCATCTGTTGCGACCATAAACCTCATTCGCTTTATCAGTTGTCGTTATAGCATTATAGAAGAACGAAAATAATAAGAATTTTGATAAAATACGGAGCTAATGCAAGCACATCCGCACGGTCCCACGGTCACCTAAACGTTTTTTATATATATATATATATATATATATATATATATATATATATATATATATATATATATATATATATTTATCATTAAGAATGTCCATGTCAACACTGATTATTATCGTTCTCCCAAACTCCCACGTTTCTATAACTGTATAGAAACACTGAAAATGTTTTCTATTTCTTAAATGTGTTTTTTGTTAGTGCGTCTTTTGACTTCCAATAAAAACTACGCTTTTTGTTGGATCTTTTCGAACCAGTTAGAAGCCTCGTTTAGGAAACAGATTATTGACAATTTACATAATTAATACTACGGACTATGTAACGAATTTGCAACTTTTTAAACGAAATTTCCAGTTTTGAAGTTTGTTGGAAGCGAAGATAAAGCTATTTTCGTTTTATAAGTGCATATGCATGTCGTAACTATTTACGAAACAGGTTGTATATATAGCTACCTCGTAGTGATTCGAACTGCCAAGGGGGGTTACATTGGAATAAAACCTGCTGAGTTTAACATCACGAAATTGATAGGCTAGGAGACGTGATGTAATTTTGCTTCGCCACCATTGACGACTTGGTGTATCGTAACACATGTCGTAAATTTTGTAAAACAAGTTTTCTTTGATGGCGACACCACAATTACAGCTTGGCGATCGTTGATCACACGCTTTCTGCCTAACTTGAATCTAGGAATTTAAATACATAAGAATTTATATATTGTCTTATTTAAAATCTGCAACATATGTCACAAACATAAAAAATGTTAAACAGCTATTCTTCATTTCTTCAACCCCGATTGGGCAAGGCCCCACTGATCTCGTATCATTTAATTGCTGCGCACTATTCTTGACGTACCTCTTCCCATTCTTACGCGCGACCTATATATTGTCGAGAGTCTCGATTTGTGTCTGTCTTTCTGTCTGTCATGATTTTTACGGGGAGGCAGGGGGGGGACGGAGTTAGGGGGGGGGGGTACGGAATGAGGGGAGCGTACTGTCCAAGCACGATTTTGTCCCGTATGTTTCTTCTATTCTTCATGCAACCGTTGGCTCTACGGTTTCATATTCACTTTTACAATCATATTCAGATTCAGATTATGACATGATATAAAAATAGCAAGGTATCTGTCGTATAAAACGTGGAATAACTCTGCTATACTTTCCATGCAATAGTTTTTTCTCTGCGAGTTATCCTGGATCAATGCATTGGGCATTATTTGATTTCCGGTTCTTTTCCTAAATTGTCTCTTACTGTCATTTAATATTGATGAAATAACGTTCCAGTTCAAGCTTAGGCACAATATGGCCATATTTAAATTTTTATTTACTCAGCTTTATCTCATTAGTTTTTATGATTGCTATTTATTTTAAATCCATTATCATTAATATTTGTACCACTGTAGGCTAATTAAGATTTATGATTATGACAAGTATGAATACTATGATATGATTTATTTTCTATGTGCTACTGATTCTTCATTTTTTTGGGTTAAATTTTGCTCGTTTTGATAATTTGGTACAAAATGAGCTCAAAATATAGAATTTCTTGGACAAATATTCTCTGTGAACAACAGTGTACCGAAGACAGTTTTCAAAACACTTTGAGAATGCTAGCTTCTACTATAAATTATTTTACTTTAAATGTCAATTTTAAATATCAAGAGGATTCCTCAACTTGCCCAGAAGTTTTAGTTGTTCTAAGATAGGAAGACAAGTAATAACCAAATCCTTTTTAAATGTATAAATATGATGTGTTGAACACTGTATATTCTATTGTCAATTATTATTGATAGTTAAAGACAGCAATTTCTTTGCTAATTCCTTTGATGACATATAGCCTGAAAATACAATAACGTAATATGTATGACCAGGTTGTGCATGTGAATGTGGTTATATTTTAATCAGTGGTGTGTCAAACATGAGAGTAAATTTGTTTCCTTGCACGAAAGAATTTTATTTGAAGTTCCAGAGTGCGCTTGGATTGTTTTTACTATTCTCGATTAATCTTGAATAAGTATCAGCTTTACACTTTCTTACTAACTTCTCTATTAACTTTTTTCCGAAGGTCTTTGTATTGGGACCACTGATTTGGTAATTTAGATTTGATTGCTTTCCTACGAAGAAGATCACGTTTTTGCATTAATGGCGATAGTTCGGCGGTCATCCATGTCTTTCGTAGAGATATACCTCGTATACGCGACTTTTTAAGCGGAGCATGCTTATCTATAAACGTAGTGAAACACGTGTTTCACTTAAAAACCGCTTGGTCTAAATCCTCGTTGGTAGTTATCGATGACCAATCAACATAAATTATTTAAGATCGTTAATGAAATCTGACTTACTATTAGGCCGTATTCTCTGCCTCTGGCACGAAAAGTCGCTTAGAAAACGATTTTCGTTGCCCCCCTTCGGTCACTACTTGAAAACACGATAAAAAATTAGGATAAATTATAGAAAGTCTAAATTCACTTGTTTTCACCTTCATAAACCTGCAGTTTTCGAGCATTTTATCTTCGAAAAACCAGTGAATTTGCATGTTTTGCAATACACCGACGCCATTTTGATTCAGGAAATGTCGCCGATACTTGGTGTAATATACGACATATATAGCAGATTCAGCAGTTTTATACCGGTATATACATAAAGTTTCCGCCATTTTTGCTGTGCAAGCGGTTTCTATGATAAACAATATGGTTTCCGAGCTAAACACTCAACACAGCATGCCATTATTGATATTATAAATAATATTCACAATAATATGGACAAGGGACTATTTTCATGTGGAATATTTATTGACCTAAAAAAAGCCTTTGATACTGTTGATCATTCCATACTTCTACATAAATTACATCATTATGGCATCCGTGGAGTGATCAACAACTGGTTCAGATCTTACTTAACTGATAGAATACAAACAACCCAAATTGGTGGTAACATATCATCAAAACATACAGTTAACTTGGGTGTTCCACAAGGTTCAGTTCTTGGGCCTTTACTCTTCTTAATTTATATAAATGATATTCACAAATCATCTGAGGTATTCAAATTTTACTTGTTTGCTGATGATACGAACTTAGTATATTCCAATAAAAAATTAAAATCTCTAGAAACGATTATCAACAGAGAATTGATACAAGTTTGTGAATGGCTAAACACAAATAAGTTAACTCTTAATTTAAAGAAATCCAATTATGTTATCTTTCATCCATACCAAAAAAAGCTCGATTATCAAGTTCAATTAAAAATGTTTGACAATGATTCCAATATATTAACTAACATTGAATGTAAAGAATTTATAAAATATTTAGGTGTCGTATTAGATAGTAATCTCACATGGAGATATCATGTTGATAATATTGCATCTAAAATAAGTAAAACAATTGGCATAATTACAAGGCTTAGATATTTTGTACCTCTGTCTACTTTACAAAACATTTATCGATGTTTAATTTTACCTTATATAACATATGGTATAGCTGTTTGGGGTCAAGCGCCAAAAAAATATTTGAACAAGATACTTATTCTCCAAAAACGAGCTTTACGTCTAATGAATTTTAAAACAAACAAGGAACATGCTATTCCACTTTTTATTCACTCCAATATACTTCCTTTAAATATGCTTTACTTTAAAACCATTTGTAATCTAATGTACGATGTTACAAATAGTTCTTGTCCAACTTCAATCTCTGATTGTTTTATCCAATCAAAAGAAGTCCATACTTATAACACTAGACATTGTGTATCCAATAATCTTTATATTGAATACTCAAAACTAACTATAACAACCACATCCTTTGTAAAATCAGGGGTAAAAATTTGGAATAGTATTCCCACTGATGTTCGAGAGATGGGGAGAAAAAATTTCAATTTGAAAATTCAGAAAAGTCTTTTAACTATGTTTGAGATTGAGGATGACTATGTTGATGTACCCACATTAATTCAATATATGAGTAAGCTTTGAAAACAGTGCTTTCAGGGAAATAAACAGGAAATTAATGCTTCCTTATAACAATGATATTTTATGCTGTCAGTATATTGGGCCACTTTGTAAAATAGATAAGGAATACTCTAAGTTCTTATTTAAACACTGAGCACATCTTACCTAATTTCGTTTCACTATCCGCCCCGATTAGCTTTGCTATTAGCGGATAGTATTATTTAAATACAGACTGTAATTATTTCCTTATTAATAAAATTTGATTTGATTTGATTTGATTTGAGGGGAGTTTTACGAGGTTTTTCGCAAATTTTCATAGTTTTTCAAAACTAAATTAGTCAGAGAAGACTTAGAAAACAATCAATCGGAAAAACATCCGCCAATTTTGCTTACACGCATCAAAATCATCCACGAGCGTTTTGTTTCTAGTCAAGTTATATATATAAAATAATTACTACACAATTCCTTTCCAGCCTTTGTTTTATACTAACTACTTTTATATTACATTATAATACACACGTTTCCTCAACAAAACTATTTACAACATCTCAGTTTTTTGACAAAGTTGATTACCAACGTCTTTATTTTATTATCATCAATCCACTAAAAACGAATTTGTTGAGCGAAGACCAAGACATCTGTACGAAGTTGAAACAGAAGTTACAGAACAAATTTCAAACATTTTCCTTATGAAAACGTGAGAGGACTTGTGAAAACTGCCAAGTTGGCCCAAGTCTAAACTTGCTGAAGTATTGGAAAATGAATCTGGAAATCCAGAAGTCAATGTTTGTGCATTTAACAACAATGCACTGATTTTAGATGTTATGGCAGTTATTCAGTCGATGAAAGGAAATTGGAAAACATTTGGCGATGATGCTATTTTTAAAACCTCATCACGCTAACACGAAAGTATAATTCCAAACGATTAGATTGTTGCAGACAGGTATCCTTAGTTGAGCATAAAGAATGCAGAGAGAAAACGAAGAGCTGAAAAGTGAACACTGAAGGTCATGTAACTCCTCTCGGTGGTGTTCCATTTCAACTATGTATGTAACTGCTAAAGAAAGATGCTATGTTTTATATCCCGGTGATTACCCGAACGATAGTGTGACAAGTAATGAGGTGTCTTCGCTTCATAGCAACCACGAAGAAGCAGACACTCGTTTAATTAATTCTACATGCTAACCACGCAGCAGCAACGTACGATAAAGTTATCATCAAAAGCCTTGATACTGCAACAACAGATGCAGAAAGAGATTTTCTTTTTCACTGGCTCGGGAGATAGACGTCGTTGCGTATTTGTAGCAATTATCTCGAAATTCTTGGGCGCGGATGTTGCTCTTTGTTTACCAGGCTTTCATGCTTTTACCGGTAATGGCATTAGCAATCAAGCAGCATCATCATGGTATCAGTGTTTAAGTGAAGAAGTCGATCTTCCATCATTGGTTGGCAATGACTGGACGCTTGACGATAAAGAGCTGGAGATAAATTGGATGACACGCCCAGCCGCTCCGCTTTCTTTAATTGAGTGGTTGAGTGCAAGTGCAAGACTGGATGCTCGACCATGCGTTGTTCCTGCAAAAAGGCTGACTTACAGTGCACCGACCTATGTTCGTGTGGTGATTGCCAGAATGCATGCAAGATGGTAACGACGATGATAGCAGTTATGGCCTGGCTCAATCTGATGACGATGATGAACTTGAAGGATCAGAATCTAATCTGGATTTCGGAGATGACGTCGATGATGAGACAGAGTTGTGGTATTAGCTGTTCGATTAAAAGGGTTGAGTTCAACTTTTTATTTGTGTTTTAAAATTATAAGGCGCTCATAATTCTCCCACAATGGTATTAAAACGTATGGCTGATATCAACCTTGGTATGCGTGTTCAATATTTTAACATGTACAGTAGTTGTACGTTGCAAATCACGTTTAAATAATTGTTGAGGAAACGTGTGTATTATAAAAGTAGTTAATATAAAACAAAGGGTATGCTGGAAAAGAATTGTGTAGTAATTATTTTATATAACTTGACTAGGAATAAAACGCTCGTGGGTGATTTTGATGCGTGTAAATAAAGTTGTTCTTATTTATTTGTAAATTCCAAGAGCAGAATGCTATAAAAAAAATCGAAAATTGGCGGATGTTTTTCAGATTAATTGTTGTCTAATTCTTCTCTGACTAATTTAATTTGGAAAAACTATGAAAATTTGCGAAAAACCTCGTAAAACTCCACTCAAAGCTTCCTTGTTGAAACCTGCTTGAACAGCATAAATAGCGGAGACTTCATGTAAATACTGGTATAAAACTGCTGAATCTGCTATATATGTCGTATATTACACCAATAATCGGCGACATTTCCTGAATCAAAATGGCGTCGGTGTATTGCAAAACATGCAAATTCACTGATTTTTCGAAGATGAAATGCTCGAAAACTGCAGGTTTGTGAAGGTGAAAACAAGTGAATTTTGACTTCCTATAATTTATCCTAATTTTCTATCGTGTTTTCAAGTAGTGCCCGAAGGGGGGCAACGAAACTGAACGATAATCGGCCACAGAATACGGCCTAACTCTCCCCGGAGATTTGAATTGACCAGCTTTGTAGACACAATATATTAATGAATGGTCGCTGAGGCTTAGGGGCTGTTTACATGAGCCCGGTTACTCGAGATTCAACGAAGCATGGGATGATTTTGAGGTATTGAAATGAGCAGATAACATGATCCTGACAGTCGTATAATCACCACAACAATAGCATGTGCTTGTTTGGTGTCATAAAGACTTATTTCAATACCTCAAAGTCCTCTCTCGCTTCATTGAACCTTGGGTAACCGGGCTCATGTAAACAGCCCTTAGTGGAAAAACTCTGTGATCAACAATGCATTCCGGAGAGAACAATAAATCAATCAGTGTAGACGTGTTTCAGTAAGGAGCTGTTTACATGAGCCCGGTTACCCGAGATTCAGCGAAGCGTGAGATGATTTTGAGGTATTGAAATGAGCAGATAACATGATCATGGCAGTCGTATAATCACCACAACAATAGCATGTGCTTGTTTGGTGTCATAAAGACTTATTTCAATACCTCAAAGTCCACTCACGCTTCGTTGAATCTCGAG